ACACACACACAGGTGCAGCTGACATGATAGCTTCTCAGCTCTCAGCATAGAACACCAGAGCGCCACCTTTCACCTGTTGAGCTGCGAGATGTTATTTTTATCAGCGCAGCTCGTCGCGTGACAGCGACAGTGGCGGGAAAACTCTGTAGCTGTTCGTTCATCCAGGCATCAAACACTCCCCGACCGTCTAATGAGGACTGGGAACACTCAAGCCTAAGGCGAGGTGGGGGGGTGCACCTTCCCACTTCCCCCAAATACCCCTTCCCGAGTGCTGTCTTTAAACACTTGATCCTGCAGCACATGTGGGCAGAAGGGGCTGATCGTGATGCAGGTATGTGCAGGAGATCTGGATTAGATTACACTGGATAAACACATGAGAGGGATTCCAAATCAGCACTCTCCTTTTTTATCCACGTTTCATGCAACGCTCAGTCTTTTCTAGGGCAGGGTCTGTATGCACACGGCGTGAAATAAGATGTCAAACAAGGAAAGAGATGTATGTGTTTGTCAGACTGACTCTCCAGGAATAGTGGGAGCACAGCCAGCAGGCCCAGCCCAGTGAGTGAGTGTGCGCGTTTGTCTACAGATGCCAGATCAGAGGTGGAACACAGCTCAATTCCCCCAGCAGCAGCAGAGGCAAGCTGTGCACGTAACCTGCTAGTGGGGTGAGCTCAGTACGATCTTCACATCCTGGAAGCTGGGACGACTCCAGCTTGTGCACAGCACAGATTACAGCCATGGCGGTAATGATGCAACATAGATATTGTATGATCCAGGTACATTTACACTGATTATTTTGAAGCTTTTCCTGCCGTGTTGCTGAGTCGTTTACCCGCCGGCTGGAGGAGACAATGGCTTCTAACTGCTTTAGTGCTCGCCCTGTGCCTCAGCACTGAAAACAACGCACTCACAACAAACGGAATAAAGATCATGTTAGCAGTAACTGCTGGGACCAACGTGGCCTCCAGGATAATTCGGCTTCCCTCAGCTCCAGTTTCATCAGCAGCACTCCTCAGTGTGGAGGTGAGCTAGAGTTACTCTAAGCAGGAGCCAGTCATCCTTTACATTCCCTTCAACATCGTTCTCCATTTTAAACCCGCTCAGCAGGAAACTTGCTTCCCCCAAACGAGTGATGGCGACCGGGATCCATTTACATTCATCCAGCAGCTGCTGAACCGGGCTACAACTGTTCCACTTCAGGAGCGTGCAGAAAATGTGGCACGGGCTAAAACTGCATGCTCCAGAATCAGAACTAGTTTCAGTTGCAACACTTTTTGGTTACCACTTTTGACACTTCTCACTTCATCCCTCACTGCACATGCAAGCGTTTCTCAAAGATCCCTTCAAGACCCGTTTCAGATCACTTTGAAAACAGCTCTGCTTAAACGGCGCAACATTCTGGACCCCGGTCCACCTTGCAGGCCACTTTAAAAAGGGGGCCTGAGGAGGCATTCACACAAACATTTTTCAGGCTTCTTACCTCAACCTGCTCTGTGCCCTCACACACGGTCACGCTGAACTGTGAATTTGTCACTTTTTGCTTTCACTTCTTAGGCTGAAACCCAAGAAAAGCGGAACTTTTCAAGCAATCTGTGAAAAAAAAAAAGAGGTCGAAGCAGCTGCATGTGCAGCCAGCTGTTGGGCATCAGGAAGTGACGATGGTGGCGGCGAGTTAGCGCATGAACAGAGCTGGCAGCAGGCAGCTGGCCTGCTTCATGCTGAGTGCTAATCAAAGCTCTGTTAACTTGGTGAGCGACTGATTGGCACTAACATGATCACACCTGTTGGGCACACCCACTGCCAGCAGCTAAAGCAACACATGCAGGTGGCTCCACCCTAATTCTGAAAATAGTATTCCTTTGTGTGTGTTTTGTGGGTTGTTGCACTACCCGTGTTTACATCCACTCTACTGCAATACTAGAAAGCCAATCCTAGTGAACAAAAATCAGCCAGCTCTTGCTTTGTTTGGGATTTTCCTTCGTTCATGCAAATCTGTCTTCACTGCCCTTTTGCTGTCCTTCAGTGGCGTTCGCACACTGCAGGATATCAGATGTCCGCCTCCATCTGCTTATAACAACAAGACTGGTTTGTGGCCGTTTCCTGCACACATTCTCGCTTTTTAAAAAAAATTCTTATTACAAATTTCAGCGCATTTGACTCAAGAAGCAACGGAGAGGCTGCCGTTTCCTTCTGAGATTCGAGAGCGTCAAAATCCTTCTCGAACTTGATCTGCAGTCAATGCAATATTATCATTACAAGACATTTGACTCTTGGGCGAGTTGGCACTAACAGCTGATTTCCTAACAAAAAAAGGAAGAACAAAGAAGAAAAGAAAAGGGAGAGCCTTCGAAACAGGATGTAGTGCAACAGGAAAAAGGCTGCTGATCTGGGCGCGTAAACCCAGATCACCCCTGGCAATTTTAACTGACAGCCTCTCTGTGTGCCAGCAAAGCCATTTGTTTCGGCCTTGCAACCTGAGTCGCAGGCTGGGGGGGGTGGCGGCGGGGGAAGATAGAGGGCACACATTAAGGAAAAAACTGTATGAGAGGAGAAAAGGATGAAAGAATGCATGCTGATTGAACTACAGAGAAGAGGTTTTGTGTATACTATAACCTAAAATTTGATCACGTTTTGAAAAAGCTTCAGCATTCCTCGTATTAGAAACCGGGCGGATGATGGGACCAGCAGCGAAGTTTGTTTTCTGCTGCCGCTGGGAAAAACAGACAGAGGACAAATCATCTGTCGGTCTGCGTTTCGCGGCCTTAAACGACAGGTTCAACGCTTATTCGCCTCTTTGTCAGGAGTTAGACACAAGTCAGGGGTTCCTGCATTTGCAGGGTAAAAAAAAACAAAACGTGAGATTTGGCAGATTAGGATTTACCCGTAACGGTCGCGGCACGCTTCACGTTTTCGACTCCCTTATCTGAGGTTTCCTCTCTCTTATACGTGCCAGTAAAGCAGACCTGAAGAGAAACTCACAGCGTATGAGCGACAGCGGGAGAAATCTCTTGAGTGTGCTCTTAATCAAATCTGGCAAATGATGCGAGCTTCAGCTGTGGGGCTCAGGTGGATCTGCCGAGTCCAGGCAGTTTTTAAGGGCCCCCCTCTCTCCACCCAGGCCTACCGAGTACTAATCCCTCATCCTCACTAGTCATCCAGTGCATCCGTTCGCTCCCTGTCTTGCTCGCTGCACGTCTTCATTCTGACTGCAGTGTGTTTCAAACCCTTTCAGTTTCTGCTCCTCCTCCTGCAAACACTACCACCGTTACCACACACACACACACCTCACAGACTCTTGCACGAGGCCCTGTCTCTCAGCATCAGCATCAACTGTGAAGTTAAAAGGCCAGCATTCCCGTGAGAGACGGTCTTTGTTGATGCTGCTGTTTGAAACGTGGGGCTGTGGGATGTTTGTTAGGACATCGGTGGACCATTTGAACGCACGTCGTGATAACTGCAGACAACCGCAGCAGCAGAAATCCTTCTGTAAGCTGTAAGCATGGTGAGAAACTTCCTGCTGCCCTCTAGCTCAAATTCATTTCCTGCCTGCTCTCTTTACACCCTGCCAGGTACTGATCTGGTACCAAACAGCTGCCAGGAAAAGTCGAAGTGTTAGCCCACTATCTCACTGTGGATTCAACTTAGACCTGCTTAGACCAACTTAGAACTTCTCAAATTTGTGTCGTTACTAAACAGACATTGTAAAAAAGAAAAAGCCCAAAAGAAGCATCTTTATCCTCGGAGAACTGAATGAGCGCGCTCATCACTGACGCACCGCTTCGTGTAGTCACACCTGGGATCTGCCAGGTAGTGCAGTCTGCTATTGTTGCACCACAGAGCCTCTCTAATGGAGCTACAGCCGATTAATTGTTATGCTCCAGAGTAACGGCTGACGTATTGAAACAGGAAGAGGTTTACTGTTTTCTTTCCACAGAACTCTAATAGTCAAAACCTTCGATCAAGCTCACGCAAAGCCTGCTCAATGGTGGATCAGCTTATTCAACCCCGTAGTACTCGCACCCCCACCGCAGCAGGGTTGGATATCCCAAAGCACCAGTCAGGGAGCAGCAGACTCACTCCTGTGGGAAATTAGAAAAGAATTCAGCTAGCAGAGGTTGTGTTCTGGTTTTGGTTTCACTTTGACGAGACATGGAAAGTAGAGTTATTCAGTGAAGGCCTCAGCTGTCGCAAACAGAAGTCAGCTGCTTGGAAAAGGATGATTCAGACCTCTAAGGTCATGTGCTGGGAGAACTTTACGCTGAGCTGTGAGCAGCGGTGACAAGACTCACGGCTTCCATCGTTTCAGGTGTTTGAAACGGCTGAAATTAGCCTCTACGGAGGTTCTGCTCTCATTCTTCCTGTTAAGAGGAGTTCTTCTGTTGCCAGCTGATTGCCAATTGGTTCCTTCCGTTATGCTGCCCGATCTTTACCTCACAATTTAGACAGCCTGAAGAAGAGTACTGTTGGGAATCTAATGGATGTATCTTAATGAGAATCAAATGCCAAAACCTTAAAGTTCCAGTGCACCGTCAACCCACTGAGTGACGTGAAACATGAGCACGATTAGCCTCAGCTTTAGTCTTTAGCATCTTGTATCGCTGCTTCTTTGAGGCTGATACATCTCTGCACATATTTCGCATCTCCTTCCAGTGCCCAGAATGGCCAGCAGACTAGCCTGTCATGGTGCTTGAACATCGAGTCTAACATACACAGGACAAAACATTTCCAATGAACCCAGTAAGGAACAATCATGTCTACACATCTGCTCCTGTCTTCTTCTGTTTTCAGCAACTTCCACAACCTGACTCGGGCACAAACACACCTTCTTACATTGCAGTCTTATACCCTGGGCTCAGTGCAATGGCAGGGGTCTTCTACACGTCACAACCCGCCCCTGCCCACCCCACCCCTGCACACTCCCCGCCCAACCTCCACATCCCGGAATCAACATAAAGGGAAAAGACAACAGGAAAGAAAAAAAAGAGTGGAGCATCTCTTACCCATCTGTGCCGGATGTCTTTCAGAGGGTCATAGTGGATGAGAGCCCTGCTGATCGGAGTCGAGCCTGTCGGTTGCACTGCAGAAGCCACTATGCCATCGCATCGGTGATGCTGGAGACTGGCTGATAACTGGGGCCGGGGTCTCTCTCTCTCACTCTGCTGAAGGCGGGTTACTGTGCGGTTATCTCGCCTTCGCTGTTTTTGTTTTTTTCCTTTATCCGCCGGATCGGATGTGCAGATAATCGTCCCAAGCTGGACCCGACTGGGGGTGGGCGGGGGGATCCTATGGGTGATGGCTCACAGCCTCCTCTCCTAGCTCAGCCCCTGATGCTGCTCCTCCGACAGACACGAGCAGCGGTTCGCACCACAGATACTCACAGCAGAGGCACGGAAAGCAAAAGCCAAACAGCAATAACGTACAAAAATAGGATGGAGACGGAATGATGCGAAGGGACTCGGGGGTGTCACTAGTGTCGATGGTGCTGGTGGTGCCAGGCGGGAGATAGAGGGGGTGATAGCTGCTTTCTGCCGCGCTGATTGCCGTTTTCCGTCGTGTTTACGAGCCGCTGTCGCCTCCTCCCTCCGTCTCCTCGGTCTCTGTCCACGATGCGTCCCTCTCTCTCCCGTCCTCCGCGACGCCTTTTCCGCTCACAGGAGGAGAAGAACCCCCGCTACTCCTCGGCGTTCACGTATATTCTCATAATCTGCCCTCTATTCCTCTCGATCGGAGCTGCGAAGAGCAGGAGGAGGTGCAGATGAGTGTGCGTGCGTGTGTGTGTGTGTGTGTAGGGGGGGTGGGTGGCGTTGGGGGGAGCAAGTGGAAGAAAACTAAGGGAGCGGAAGGAGGAGCCCCGTGAGGAGAGAGCTCCTCCCCCCGTTATGCTGCTTATCAGCGGGACGGAGGGGGCGCCCATCATGAGATTTGAAAAATGAGATATGACCGTGCAGCGGCTGGAACATATAAGACTGTTATTGCTGTGACCTCACCTGTGATCCACGCAGAGCTCGCCTGTAAACGCTGCCTGTATTTAAGACACCCCACCCCCTTTTTTTCTGCAGAACTGCAAGAAAACTGTATGTCCATATAGCAGGGACCCCGTGAGGCACACCAGACCCTGTTGTTGGATACAGTGTGAGGAGACACACACACCGACTGCTGTCAGGCAATGTGATGTATGTCCTGAAGGGGGCGCCAGAGAAACAGCAGGTTGTAACTCGGAGCTCACCTCGGGCAATGTTGCCCTTCAGTTAAACGCAAACGGTGCAGCTCTTATATTCGTTCAGTGTTATTGAACTAGGAGCTGGTTATGTGTAAATAGTGGAAAAAGTGGAACACAGGGAATTTTTCTCTCAGTTTTAGTATTTTTTTTAAAGTAATAACATGTGATTTTCAGTCATGAGCGGGTTAAAATGATGGCCCAGTTCAGTATAATACTATCCATTACACATGTGTTTAGATAGCTGAACGGCCGCTTTGCTGCTATGACAAATCCATATTTGGCTCTTTAGGCACCATTAAGTGCAGAGCTGGATGTAAACCTGCACCTTTCCCAAACAAATCCAACACATATACACTACACTGCCCAGTGTCACCTGCCTTTACACACACACACACACACACACACACACACACACACACACACACACACACACACACACACACCATTTTTAATCCGTAACTATTCCTACTCTGTTTTTTTAATTCCTGCCTTCGCCCTGGCTTGTTTTCTTTTCATTTCTAATCCTACTGCCTTTTATTATTATAATGTTTACTATTAGTAGTAGTAGAAGGAGTAGCAGCAATCTCCCCATTGCTTCCAATTGTCCCTCTTTGTCTCCAAAGTTATTCTATCAGTCTCTTTTGTTGGCTTCCTGTTTTATTTTGGAGGTTACTGTTACTGGTACTTCCTGTCTGGCCCCTGATTCCCTCATTCCTTCCACCTGTTGCTCATTGCATGCACCTGTGTTTCGTGTGTTTAGCATGTGTGCGTGCGTGCATCCTGAATTCCCTTCCCCATGTGTTTGTCGTGCTCTTCCTTTCTTCTGGCTGATCGTTGCCTCTGTGCTCATTCTGCCTGTTTAGATTGCACATTTCTGTTGGTCTTCTTGTTTGTTTTTTCTTTGTTTTGGCAATGTTTAGATATTATGTAGACTTTGTGTATTTTTTTTTTGGGGTATATCTATCAGCTACAACAAAGGCTCACTTCTGATTTAGTGTTCTGCGTCCTGTATCTGGGTCCTCTATACGCCACAGCTTGCACATATGCAGACTTCAAAACTTCAAATTTGATGTATGCAGTAAACGAGGAAGAGCTGAAGGCGTGGGACGATGTATTTCTTTTTCTAAAAATCCCTTTAATAATGATGCTTCAGGTCAGATTTAATGTAAGTGTGCTGATTATGTTTCTTTATCCCTTTATGGCAAATGAATTACACTCAGGATATGAGCGTAGGTAGGAGGAGAGAGTGTCTGCTACCATGACTATCAGCAGGCAAACAAATGCAATGTTTAGCATCTGCTGAGAGCTGGAGTGTGCAAACACATTTGTGTATCATTAACATTTTTTTAAATGACACGATTATGTTCTACGCTAGTATGTAACAAAAGCATGTCTATCTGGTTTTGTGATTACTCTGTGCCACGCAAGAGAGTCCAGGCAGAAGCTAAAGTTGGTTCATCCTGAGTTATTCTGCACCAAGAAATGACAGATGTAGTCAGAATAAGCACACAAAGTGTGAGTCTGTATCTCCATTGTTATCGTCAGCTACAGTCTTCATAGTTTGTACTTTACTAACATCATGGCTCTGGTACCGAACAAGTGTGGACAAGCGTTGCACGTCGAGCCCCTCCCTTATCCCCACGTCTCTATTAAGACGCATTACATGCAAAATAAATAAATAAATAAATAAATCAGAGAAAGAATTTAAAACTAATAAAAAAATAAAATATCTAAAGTTTCCATTGGTTTAATTAGCTTACCAAAGTAAATCTCAAACAAACACAAATGTTTTTTTGGAGAAAAAGTCAAATTCCTGCATGCACACTGTGTGAAGCGTAAGAGTTAATCTAGCAAAAATTAATGGCTATCTGTAATAAGCTGGTTATTGTTCTAACATGTCTACCAACTTGTGTCCTCCTCCTGCCTGTGGCAAAGGGTGGAGGACTATTCATGCTATTTGTGGCTATGCATGCTTGAATAAACTGGAACAATAAACTGCACCGACCCTTAAAAGGAAACAACCTCCGAGGGGTGAATGTTCCTCTTTGTCACATTGCTTAACTTAACTCAGGGTTTCACTGAAGTCATGCAGTGAGACCAGGCCCGAAAGCCTCTTGCTTAAAGAAGAAAGAACATCTCTGCTTGTTCTTTTCAAGACTGACAGAAACAGGGGAAGTGATTCCTAATGCACCTAATGTGCACATTACAAGCTCACGTTGCACAAGTTTGCCTCAGTACCCGAGACCGCCATCGCTTCAATGTAGATCTGTAGCCTAAAGACCTTCACACGCCGAGCGCGTTTAGAAAGAGACGTAAATCAGAATGTCAGTGAGGTAGTTTGAGCTGTTGTTATCAGAGTTAGCACCAGAGCAGGTAGAGAGCTGATTGTCCAGAGAGCAGCGCCTGGTAAAACAGTATTATTTTATGTCTATATAAGTAGCAGTGCGCACTTTGATTTACGAGTCCACTTGTTGCCAGTCACTGCCAGATTGCAGTGATCTGATTGGTCAGATCTTTTTATTTGCATGTGAAAAATTGGAAACGTTTACTCAGTGGGTGTAAACAGCTGCATTAACAACAGGTGAGTCAGAAAAACATTTTGAACCCATGAATTTTCTCATGAATCTTACACGTCCGGTGTGTAGATGCCTTACAGCAATCGAAGCTGTGAGTTACAATAATAAGAGGCTCAATGAGTTGATCACGCAAACGTTTTTATACAAACCGATGCTGTCAAGCATCAGAAGCTGCCCTCTGGTTTCTACTTCATGTGGATAAACAAAGCCCGCTGTCCTTCACAAATTTAGTCCAGGGTTTTTGAAAGGAACACCTGAGAGATCTAAAGTCAGCTAGTATTTCATCCTTTGTACATCTGCCTGGCGCTAGCAGGTGTAACAAAGGATTTACATATCTCCCCAACTTTGTGTGACTTCACCCGTTTCCATTTTAGTTTCAGGTTACACTTGAGTCCCTTTTTCTGAGACTCGGGTCTCGAGGGAGCTCAAGGAGTCTAGATGCTCATTATTTGGCAGCTGTGATATGGTTCAGATTTTAAATAGCCTGTGATCCATTGCTTTTTAACAAGTGTCTGTATCAGTAAGCCAGTGAAGTTGGCAACATCTCTGCTTATTAGTGATACAGTAAATACAGCTGGATGCTAAGCCCCCTAGAGCGTAACATCCCTCATAACAGCCTGAGATCTTCAACCTCAAAGCCTCACTTTGTTCGCCCTCTGAGCAATCAGCAGCCACTGTGGGGTGGGGGGAGGGGGGTTAGAGACCTACACTGTGTCTGCACTTTAAATATTGATATCAGCCTGTCAGCAGTCTGAGTGCGACACTTTTTTTTTTTATGGCTCACACCAGAAGTCTGTCCTGTCTCACAAAGCAGGATTATGAAGATGCTTTTAATGATAGCTAGAGCCAAAGCAGATCTGACACATACTGTCACTCTGCTGTCGGGGTCATAGCTTCTGTTAAAGTATCCAAAGCTACACCCTCTGATTCATCTGGGTCAATCATGGGTACGTTGGCTGATTTCAGGGATTATTTTATGCTCACTGCACTAAAACGGTCTCTGGAAAAACATATATATGTCTTGACCCTTGTGCCTTACCATGTAACATCAGCAAAACTGTGTTAACCTGGTTACTTTCTGCAAGTCGCTGGAAAAACTGGTATGGTTAGGGTTAGGCTCTGTTTTAAGCCATGAATGAAACAAGTGTTTTCAGGAACTATGAGATGTTATCTTTTGGCCTTATAGTTGTTAATAATTCCTTTCAGCTTTCCGAAAATAAGTGAGAAGTCTGAACCAAACCAGGTCACTGCTATCCTGGTCGATGTTAGGAAGTTCTGCATGTAACAGAACGCGTTCAGGGCTCTAACATGAGCACAGAACAGGAGAAACACCAGCGTGCCTTTCCAGAGGAAAATCTACCGGGTGAACCAGATAGTCATTTAATCTCCATCTCACATCCAGAACACAATCACACCTTTATACCAGCAGATTTAAACGGTTCATGAAACTGGAACAAAACAGTCTCTGTAAATATAGAAAAGCCAGAAAAGTCTCAGTTTAAAAGAAACGGGACAAACAAAAGATCCAGTTCTCAACACGCATCTCATTTTCACAGAAGTTTCCTAGAATGTCTGCACCCAAGGCAACACACACAGGATAAAATATTCAGCAAAAGACTCTTCTCAGATGACACCTTTGTTCCAAGTTTTCCTTGGATACAATTTTAGGGCGACAGGAATCTGGATATGGAGACAGAGCGAGAGCACTGGACTTTCCAGACGGATATAGTGTGTAAACCAAATACAAGGGAAAGATCAATGCTTTATGAGACAGGAAGAGAAGCATTTAATTGCTTCTGTTTTTTTCATGGAGCCAGGGTGTGGTTAGGGTCCCGTAAAACCTGGAAGTCAGTCATCTGTAGGTGGATTTGTAATGTGTTCAATGTGTAGGAGATTACTGCTGACTGGGAAACGCTTCCTGCGCTTGCTTATCACTATTGCTCGGGGCTGTTTGATTACGAGGGAAACGTTACGAGTGGGGAGACAAAAGGGCGGAAAGAGAAACTGAGGACTAATTTCTGCTCTTCCATACTTCCAGTGACTTTTTCCCCCTTTGTGTTCATCAGCACACTCTGAACGAGCAGGTTTTGCTGTGTCGTTTACTCTGAGAGACAAAAGTGTCAGACTTCATCACAGCACACAGGAAGCATTTCAAAACGCTTGACAGAATAAAAACCACAGAACTTTCTCACGCTATCAAAATAGTGGCAGACGTGCTGTCACGGCTGCATCTTTTTAAACACACGGACTAACAGCTCTCCGCTTTTCCTCCACATAGATATTTCAGTTTGCGGCGTTTTTAAATATTAAAGTGGTGCATGTTTACCTTTCCCAGTTTTCTCCTGCCTCTCGCAGCCACAGTCAGCGGTCCAGGATCAGGTAGACAGCGTCCTGTCTGTTGTGCTCTCTTTTTTTTTTTTCCAGGCAGGTAATGAGCTCTTCCATTAAAGGTGAGAAGTATCAGGTGAGCGTGGGCTGAACAAACACAGCATTCTGCAATCTCCTTGGTCACAAAGTACAGCAAATATTACACTCCAGTGGTTTTGCTTACGCCCTAAACACACCCACGTGGTGATGGTCTATCAAGTCACTGTTTAACACCATGCCTGAGAATGTTAACAAAACCTGAGGACACGGTATGATGTGCTGTGGTGACAGTTACTGCTCTTCTATTTTTTTTAAAATGCTGAATTACAGAAAGAAGAGGGTTGAAAACATATTTGATCTACTGCACAATGGTTAATGGTTATCAACCGACTCACACTATAACCAGGGTTTGCCTCTTAACTTCATTTAATTTTACAGTACTCTGTTTTTGAACAGATGGGGTAGCCTGACCTCATTTTTATCTGTAGTTAAATCAACGTTAAGCTACTGCTGCAGGAATCATAAAAACAACAACACAAAAATAACACAAAACTATCGATTGTCACGTATTTTGACTCAAAAACATGTCAACACCTTGTTTTTTTTTTACAGCACTTTTGACTGACTTTTATCAGATGATCTTGAAAAGGTTTGTTTTTAAGATAACTGCGTAAGCACTGCACATATCTTTATGTCGAATTGCTGAGACTACTTGAAGTAAAACTTGTATGCAGACACCTGTTCACACTGACAGTTTAAAAAGAATAAACCTCCAAAAACTCTGTATGTAAAGGATGGAGGGAAAAATGGAGCCAGTGCAGAAATGACTGACTTGCCTACCTTACCTCATAAAAAGGGAGTCAAAGGCTTGTTTTACCATAAATGTCTATAAAACCTTTTTCTTTATTATCCAGAGGAATCGCCTCCCTCTTGGTATAAAAAAGAATGCAGACTACAGTCGTTTCCTCACTGGCTCCACTTTTTACACACAGAGCTTTCAATAGAAACAAGGTGTTGACAATGATGAATCATGGCTCAATGTTCTACATGTTTTTCCTGTTTTTTGTGACCTGCTGCTTCATAGTTTAAAGTTGATTTAACTACAGATTAAAACGAGGTCCGGTTACACCATCTGTTCATGTACATCTGTGTTTTAACACGTTATGCGTTTCCTTAATAAGGTTTCTGTGCCTTTAAAAGCATTTTTATAAACTTTAATAGAACTCAGCTTTGAAACATCGATTTCTCTTCGCTTTCTTAAGCGTCCGCACATTCTGCTGCTCTCTGGCTTTAATGTTGCTACACAAGCGTAATTAGGTTCTTAGTCAATCACATGATTGGGTATAAAAAGAGCATCTAAGAGAAGGACAGTTTCTCAGAAGTAAAGATGGGAAGAGGTTCACCTCTGTTCAAAACTCTCTACAAAGGGTGGGACATATTTCTTCTGCAAGTGAAGACACTGAATATCATCTGCAATACATAATATCACCAAAAGATTCACAGAATGTGGAGAAATCTCTGTGAAAGAGACAAATAGTGCCAAAATACGATCTCTGCCTGTGATCTTTGTAAAAACAGGCATTATTCTGTGACAAAGTTTGTGGTGCCACCACAAGGTTAAAGCTCTGTGATGCAAAGAAGCAGCCCTATGTTAATACGATGCAGTAACCCCGCTGTCTCCTCTGGGCCAAAGCTCATCTAAAATGGACTGAAGCAAAGGGGAAAACTCTAGTTAGATGAATAAATTGTGAAATTATTTCCTGGGAACATGGAAATTGGGCTTGTTATCCGAGGTCAGTTCTGAAACGCTTCCATCAGCTTGTATATCTGGAAAGGCACCATCATTGCTGAAAGGCATAAACAGGTTTTAGAGCAACATTTGCTCCCATCCAGATAATGTCTCTTACAGGGTAGGCCTTGTGAAGTCTTAAGCAAGACAATAACAAAACCACATGCTGCATCTCATATAAAAGCATGGCTTTGGACTAGAAGAGTCCTGGGGTTAACTTTCAACAATTTGGCCCACCATCAAATGAAAAATTTGACAAATTTGTTTTATTATAGTCGACAATTAATAAAACATGGGTGTATGAGACCCTGCTACTGTCACCCCAAGACTCACAGGTACAGCTGGGCTAAGACCTAGACATTAGAAACTCGACAACAAGGAGCTAACCTTGGGTCACTAAAGCAGACAAATATTGCTTATATATGCTGAGAAAAAAGTGGATGAATTATTTCAGAAAGGAACAGCTGTCATCCTCCAAGGCCACACATGCCTACATCTGGCTCATCCTGCAACCGCATCAAACAACACAGTCGGTCATATTTTACACGACACAGTACGTTGCTTCTTCAGCAAAGCAGCGGCAGCAAAAGGGACACAGTATGCACTGTGATGTGGGTCTGACATTCAAAAAATAAATAAAAATGGTTGATTGTATAGTAAAGTAGCAAAATGCCAATAACACTCATGGCATGAAATGAAGAATGAAGCTCGTCCAGAGTCCGAAAGTCCACACGAGGAATCTATTGAGATCCACAAAGAAACTGAAATTTGTTTGGATTACATTCGCTGAGCTAATTGTGATTGAAGATGGAAGAAAAACAAGAGCCAAGAAGAGGAAAATTATTCAGAAAAAGCATGCAAGTTTTTTTTTCCCCACCAAAGATATCAGCATGCACTCCTCCGGCGAAGAAAATCAATAACTTTATTAGCATTAACAAATTAAAATGTGCAAGTACAGGGAGTGTAAGAATCATCTGGAAGACAAAGCAAGAGTTTTAAAGGTTGGCTGCAAAGTAATCAATGTACATAATCAATATATGTCTGCGGTTTGATTCATAATTTTAAGTGGTGAATCGGGAAAGCTTGTTTTCTAATCTATAACGGCGTGTAAAAACCTGCGGACCAGAAGGTTGTGTTACAGGAATTTGACATGTGACCATTAGTCAGATATGAATTCATGAAGTGGGTCTTTGTTGTAACCTTATACATAAATTTAGAAAACCACTTTTTTTGTCAGAGATATATGATAGGAAGAAGAAATGGCCACTTCATTAGGTGCACCTCACTAGTGCCTTCAGAACTGCCTCGGTTCTTGGAAACAGTCCTGGAAACATCTCTTAGAGACTTTCATCCATATTGACATGATAGGATCACACAGTTGCTGCAGATGTGAATCTCCTGTTGCATCCCATCGGTGCTCTGTTGTACTGGGATATGGTGATTGTGGAGGTCATTTGAGCACAGTGAACTCAGCGTCATGTTTAAGAAACCACTCAGAGATGATTTGAGCTTTGTGACAACGGTGTGTTATCCTGCTGAAAGCAGCCATCAGAAGATGGTCAGTAGCAACACTCAGATAGGCTGTGGTGTTCAAATGATGTAGCATTAAGAGGCCCACAGTGTACCACGAAAATATCCCCCAGACCATTACAGCCTGAATTACTGATACAAAACAGGCTGGATTAATGCCTTTATGTTATTTACACCTAATTCTGCTCCTGATATCTGAGGGTTGCAGCAGCTCAGGAGACTCATAAGACCAGACGACATTTTTCTGATCTGTTGTTCAATTTTGGTGAGGCTGTGTGAATCGTAGCGCCAGTTTTCTGCTGCTCTACATGTATAAATGCACTGAGTTGATGCTATGTAATTGCCACCGGGTTGTGGTCTTCAGCTGTTGTAAAAAGTGGTCATTTGAGTTACTGTTCCTTCCTCTCTAGCTATTCTCCTCTGACCTCTGCCATCAACAAAACATTCTTACTAAGAGAAATGCCCCTTGCTGCATATTTCCAGAATTATTTACTATTCTCTGTAAACTCTAGATACAGCTGTGATTGGAAATCCCAGTTCCTGAAATACTCAGACTCTGGCACCAACAACCATGTCAGATGCAAAATCACTTAAATCACTTTTTTTCTGATGCTTGGTCTGATCCAACATTGGCCAGTGAGTTTATATTTAACTACTCACTAGTGAAAGCCAAAACACTTTTCATACAATAGGTATGGCAGCTGTATAACTATATTTAACATGGAAGTAAATAATATTTGTTAAAGAGTTCCTAAAGTCAGTCAGCACTTCATTAGCGAGGCGTGTACACCTGCTTAGTTTTGCACTGATATGGCCCCTCCAGTCAGGATTTCATTTAATGTTAGCGTCCGAATCACCTCTCTGACGAGGACCCAAACCAGTCGTGGCACATGGCTGCCCTTGAGGCGACTGTTGATGTGATTTGGCTTTATACACATAAAACCGGACCCTCCTACAGGACTTTTGGGGCTTTGATCGACGTGAATGGAAAGCTGAGCAGATAGTTGTTGACTGCTATGTGAGCAAAGCTTTCAAAGTGCATCCATAAGAACAAACAGAGGCTTCAAGCAGAGTGCAGTGAAGATCATTTAGAAGTCTCATTGCCAGCTTGAACTTTTTACATTTCCATGAAAATGAGCTTTTAAACGAGCAATTAGCAACATTCCTGCGTTGGCTTTGATACCGAGCACTCTGCTGCGGTACAGTTTGAACTTGTGACTTGAGGGTTTAATGCGACACGATTCTTCTTCCATTTATTTCTTCTTCGTGTTCTAATCACTTCTCTGATTAAACCAATTAGAGCTTCATAACAGTGTGAAGTTAATTTAGGCAGAGATAACATCCTGACTTCCAAGAAGGGGGGCTGTGCAAAATAAGCTGCATGATGATAAATGTACTAACGTTTTTAATTCTATCAGACTCGCACAACGACACAACGTTAAGACATTTCAAGTCTCCTAGCTGGAGAATTTTCAGCTATTAGGTAAGACTGTCTGGGAAAGGGTTCACGGCCTCAGTACCCCAGAGTGCCGCGCAGTTACAGTTTGCATATTTGTACATCTGACACTGACAGAATATGTGAAAGAATGTGAAGCTTTTCTCGGCTCGAAGAGCCCCTCCTGCTCTCTGAAAGTAATTTTGTAAAACAGGAAATCAGAGGCACGCAGAGTTGCAGTCAGCCAAGTGTCTGTATATCCTGAAATACAAAGCAGATGGAGAGAAAAAAAAGATTTCCAACAGTGTTGGATTAAGATGAACATTTTAATTTTAAACTTTCAGGTTTGGAAGCAACGTCTTATTGTTTAGTCTGACATCATGGCGACACGGGACAATAAAGCAAAGACCAATGGCTCAGTTTGACTTTTATGGATGGCTCCATTTACTCCACTAATCTCACTAAGCTCTTCTTCTAGATCCTCCCCAGCCTTACCCATCACACCGCTGCACATCAGTGTTTACTTCAATGCACTGCGAGCACAGTGTGCTGCTTCTACAGTCACTATGCCCACCATCTATCAATGTCCCACGAAGCTGCTGGAGAGTCAGGGATCTTCCTGTTCCTTGTCATGTTGATGGAGCGGCCCACACTTCGTATCCGAGACTCAAAACTGTAATTATGGTCCAGCTTACCTATTTCTCATACGTAAAGCGTGTCTTAAAATACATCACCACTAAATGTGCTCATGGCTGATGCTAAAGAGCTTTGGTTGTTAGCAACAGTTGTCAGTAACTTACACATACAGGGGCCTCATTATCAGAAACTCATGTATCCTGCATTTTAAAAATGTGCATATATACACACACAAACCCAAAAAGTTGGGATACTGTCTGTAATGTAAACAATAACAGAAAGCAATGTTTAGCAAATCTCATAAACCAGTATTTTTATTAACCACAGAACACAGAAAACAAATTAAATGTTTGAACTGAGGAAAAACAACCTTTTATATATATCTAAAAAAAAAACTCTATTAGCTTAGTTTAAATTGATTGCAGCAAAAAGGTTAAAAAGGTTGGGCAACAAACGTCAAAGTGAGAGTAAAAAGCTTGGAGGAATATTTTACAGCTAATTTGGTTATTTGCCAACAGGTCAGAAACACTGTTTGGTACAAAGAGTCTTAGAGAGGCAGAGGTTCACCTGCATTTGCATCATCTTGAGAAAAAGATTTCAGATGATCGTCAACCTGTGAGGATTTTTAGTATCTCATGATTTATAGTACATAATATCATCACAAGAATCAGAACACCTTGAGAAATCTCTGTGTGTAAGGGACAAGGCCAAAAACGATACCAGATGTCTGATCTTTGGGCCATCAGGCGGCACTGCATTAAAACTAGCACGAGCTGAGGAACACTTGCAGAAGTCACTGCCTGTGGACACAGTTCACTGTGCCATCCACAAATGCAGGTTAAAGCTCTGTCAGGCAGAGAAGCCATATGTGAACGTGATCCAGAAACACTGCTGTCTTCTCTGGGCCAAAGCTCATTTAAAATGGACTCAGGCCAAGCAGACAACTGTTCTGAGGTCAGATACAATATCTAGCTTGTTACCAGTGCTCAGTTCTAGAGCACCATATGGTCCCATCCAGACCCCCTTTTTCAGGGAAGGACTGTGTGGCTCAGAAAGACAATGCAAAACTGCAGCCATTGGAACGGTATGGCTTTGTAGTAGACGAGTTTGGGTGCTGACCTTTCATCAACAATCAAGTGGCACATGATCAAACAAAACAGAACAAAGCAGACCCGAGCTGGAATCCTCCATCAGACAAGAATGGGACAATATTCGTCTGCCAGAAGTCCAGCTGCTCTCCTCAGTTTTCCAAAATTTAGGGTCTGCTGTCAAAAGAACAGATGCTACACAGTGGTGAACATGGCCCTGCCATCAAATCCAAATTGAGCTAAGATTTTTTCTAAAATGGTAATTATCTTTTTTCAGTTGAAACAGTTGCTATTTTTTACTGTGTTCTATTGTGATAAAATATGGGTCTATGACATTTCCAAATTCATTCATCTTTATTTACATCTTACACAGCGTCACAACTTTAAGTACTCGTGGTAGATAAAAAACATCATAGGTCCACTTTAAAGCAAGTTATTTATTACCAGCTTCAGTCCCAGCTGGTAGCTGGTTGTAATATCATAATGAAATCCCTAATAAGCCCTGCTGTACATGTTGTGTTTATATTCTAAACTGTCAATCCCTGAATAGACCTCTGAGCTGTGTAGAAATGACAACACAATGATGCAGTGTGACCACTAGTTACATTACTTGCTGCCATAACAACCATATAAGCAGACCGTTGAGGTCTTTAACGAAGGTCAGGATGTCAAAGCAACGAATTATTGAAGAACTCTTTGGGAAAATGAAAGCTGATGGGAATTAATCTGGAGATATACTGTCATTACAACTTAAACAGTACTTTATAAAGCATTCATTTATTCAGTTTTAAGGCCTTACAGTATATAATAACTCACAGCTCCACAAGCTCCCCAGTCCATGAGATTCCCCTTTTGGTGCCTTTACATCTGAAAATAATTTTGTCAATCTGGATTACATGGATTCACTCACTCACCTTTGTCTTTTACAAATGACCAAACATCAATTTGGAGTGAAGTGACAATGTTTTCCCAGCATTTCATTGTCTTCAACTTCTGTTGAGAAGTTCATCCCCATGCACCTTTAGGTCACTTATATGTAGTAACATTACATTAACAGCATATTATAAGACGTCCCATCACGTCCCTAAATCTTTGTCCCTTTAAAAAAATCCATGTGTCAGCTTTGCTGGGAACTCCAGTGGGTCTCACTGCGGTCCCAGGCCTCCTTGCATGCTCTGGCCATCGCCATGGTCGCTCCCCCACAGTCGGTAAAACTGACTGAAGTCCACGTAGGGTGGGACCCTGCCCGTCTCGTCAGGCTGCGCCGCTTGACTCCCTCTCTGGCGGAACAGGCTTCCATCTCCTGAGCTGGAGCTGGAGCTCTGCGTCTGGGTGTTGGTGGACTGCAGAGTGGCTGTGGGGCTCTGACTGCTGGGGAGCGTGGAGGAGCAGAAGGAGGAGGAGAAAGGTGGGTGGTTGGAGAGGATGAGGGAAGAGGAAGACACAGGTATGAGGGTTGGAATAGAGGAGGAAGAGGATGAGAAGCACCAAGAGGAGGGGAAGAGGTCCATGTCACGAGTGGAGAGACAAAGGAGAGAGGTGGATGAAGGGAGAGGCCGAGCAGGACGAGGCATGGTGGAAAGAGAAAGGAGGGAGGTGGAGGAGGGGAGGGGGGGAAGGGGCGAGAGGGGAAAAAGAGGGGAAAGAGGGAGTTCAATTATGGGCTGTAGGATGTTGACGGAAGCTTGGCTGGTAGTGGGGTGAAACGTGCTGCAGGAGCGGAAAACGGAGAGGCAAGGACACAGTGAAGGGCACAGGATGGATATTGGCAAGTTGGGAACCAAGAGGAAGAGAAATATGGCTGTGAGTCAGACGGCGAGTGACAGACGGGAGCAGAGTGGAAATCATAGAGGAAGAAGAGCTGAAGAAACAATCTTGGAGGACGACGATGCAAAGGGAAGAATCAAAACGTGCACTTGTATCAATCAAAGCAGCGGGAACGTTTAGGAAATGCACTCGCACACAGAGAGCTCTTCATGCTCGCTCACTTTATAAAGCAGGCGGTTTTGAGCAAGTAGTCTGACAAGGCAAGTGCACACTTCAGGTATGCTAGGAGAGGCTGTCAATCATCCGTGCATTCCAGTAAGCACATATATAATTAACAAAGCACAATTACCACCTATGCACACAGCAAAAGAGTTTTACATGAGGAGAAAAAATAGCCTCTGTGGCTCAACAAGAACGTTTTAGGGCAGAGTGCAAATCTAAGTCATAAACGTCAATAACATGTATTACCACTGTAAATCAGTTATAAATGGCTGTTGTTTCTGACACTATATGTTGACCTTGACTATAAATATGTCATAATGAGTGTGCCGATGATGGATGACGGGATCCGAGAAGGTGCTAAGAAATGATGGAACTGAAGCATCAAGTTTGGTAGAGGAAACAAGATCTAGTGCACTGACATCCTGATCCAAGTAAATATGTGTAAGCACATCTAAATATGCAACTTTAAAAAAAGAAAGAAAAAGATTTGGACAAAAATTGGAAAATAATTGCAGTTAAAATTAAAGGCATCAAACTCTGCTCTTCTAGAGTGATGTTTCCACCCCAAGTGTTTTGGTTCTAACTAGGTTTTTAAAAATAAGTCAGCCACCAAAAGAAGCTGAGCAAATCCTTTAAATTTACAACCTGACAAAGGCCGCGGTCAGACCAAAGTTATTGGAGTTAACTAAAACTAAGCTACAAAATAAAACTACATGTCGGGAAAAACATTTTAGTTCACTAACATTTACACACACACACACACACACACACACACACACACACACACACACACACACACACACACATATGTGTGTGTGTGTGTGTGTGTAAATGTTAGTGAACTAAAATGTTTTTCCCGACATGTAGTTTTATTTTGTAGTTTAGTTTTATATATATATATATATATTTTAGGGGTGCAACGATATTCGTATCGATATTGAACCGTTCGATACAGTGCTTTCGGTTCGGTACGCATATGTATCGAACAATACAATTTTTTTTTTTTTGTTTTTTTTTGTGTCCCGTTTGGATCTATAGCCATCAGAATTGTTGTCTTGAGGCCAAGAAAGATGCCAAGAGGATTTATTTTAAGTGGATCATCATATTGGTCCATTTGATTGACCTTTATTATAATTATGAATTTATTTTATTTTCAGTTGCAAACGGGACAGACATGACTGTGGGATAGGACAGGGGGAAAGAATGAAAGAAAGAGGGGGAGAGAAAGAAAGAAAACCAAAGGGGAGAAAAAAAAAGAACAATACAAAATTTGTAATTTATTTTATCAACTTTCCTTCTGACGATGCTGTCTGTGTTGAGCGCTCAGTGAATCTGCATTTGACTACTCCGCCTAGGCTCGAGAGTGCAGCCTAGGCGGAGTAGTCGAACGCAGATTCACTGAGCACTCAACACAGACAGCATGGTCAGAAGGAAGAGCGCAGGGCAAGCTAGCGAGACAGAAGTGGACCTCCCCACCCTCATTCAGATCTGGCGTTTGGAATTATTTTGGTTTTCATGTGACGTATGACCCTGAAGGTAAGCGAGTCATGGACTAAAGTAAAACAGTATGTTGGATGTGCCATGCAATGCTCAATTACATGGGTGGGAGCTAGTGTGTTAGCGCAGTTAGCTCGTTAACGTGTTGGCCGTCTAGCCCCTCTGTATAGGGTAGCTCGTTAACGGAGATTTGCCGTGTTGTGGCGTTAAGGTTATTTCAACGAGATTAACCTGAAAGCACTAGTGGGAACACAACGAATATGACTGCACATTTACACCGACATCATCCTAGTGCAAAGACAAAAACAACAAGCATGCATGCTACAAACTTTAGCCGAGTCATTTAGACAGCTGTTAGCACAGGATTCTCCTTATGGAGACCTGATATGTTTAATATGCTGCTGAGAATATAGCCCAGAAGAAGCGGATAGTATAGCTTTTATTTTGGAAAGAGACATTTCTCTGTAATAAACTCTCTTTTCCAAAGATGAGTGATTCCTCAATCAGATACAGGGCTTGCAATATCGCTAGCCCGACGTCCCGGGGCTATCTCTGCCCTGCCTGTCGGGCTGTTGTAGGAAGGAAAAATATATGTCAATGCTTTTGCATTCTTTCAGAAATGTAGCTGGGTAATTATGTCATTGGGTGAGCCACTGTCAATATATGACATATTGAAATCGTGTTTGAATTTGCGCTTGTTTTTTTGCTTTCACTTTGCAATCGCGCGAACTGTGTATAGAGAGCGACAGCACTGATCTGTGAGTGATGATAATTTGTGCACCAATTCCTCTGACATCGTCTTATTAATTGTTAGCTTACTATGCAAACATGACAAGTGAAATCTCCCGCAGCTTAAACATGTGAGAGGTTGATCGCAGAGAATCGCTGAGCTTATGTGAGTGCGTGTGTAAAAGCAGCAGGATATATATTTCACTACGATGACCTGGATGATTGAGAACCTTCACAGACAGATATATATTTTAGTTCTGCTGAGCCAAATAAGACAGGTCAGGGTGAAGAAGTGACAGCCAAAGAAAAGCTTACCACAAAACGGAGAAGTTATGACAAATCAGACTATAAGGCAAAAAGAAAGTGCAGCTTTATGGTTTCATGGACAAAAGAATTTCTGTGGCTGCAATATGACGAGCTAAAAAACAACACGCACAAGGGTTAGGGTTAAATTTAAAAACTGTACTTTTGTGTTAAAATATATATTTATAATTTTAATAAATGACAAATTAAAAAGGCATGAACATTTTTTTTGTATCGAAAAATATCGAACCGTGACACCAAAGTATCGAACTGAACCGTGAATTTTGTGTATCGTTGCACCCCTAATAAATATAAATATATATATATATTATATTATATATATATATATATTTTTTTTTTTTTTTTTTTTTTTTTTTTTCTTTTTTTGCCTAATTAGAATAAAAAAGCGCTATATAAAAGTTGTAAAAACTACATTAAATTATCAAACTCCCTCAGGAAAACAACTGAAACTGAAAGAAAACCAAAAACAGCAAAAAGTCCAAACAAAATAAATCTAATTTGAAATGACAGAACTATAATTCTTATTCAGACTGTTCAGCACGCTGTTGCATGTGCAGCACATGTACTAACGCATGAGTCCCAAAAAGAAGAAGGAAACTGCTTCATCATGCTACGTTACAGTGAGGTGCAGGTACAGGTTACAGGTATTTTGTTGGCTGATCAAGTCCACATAGACTGCTCTGGAACATAAATATAAGCATTATTATAAATTCTGTCTGTCAGTATTCCCAAATTGGTATGCAGTTCCAGCTGTTCCACCTGACATGATCCAGATCTATATTCCTATAGTCTGTACCCGTATTCAGTCTCTCAGCAGTGCAACCCCTCTGCGCTGGTGCAACACAACTCTTTTCCGTCTGCATCTCATTCATCTCTGCTGCACAGCTTGTGCGGGACTGCTTGTCCCCGTCAGCCAGCAGTGGCAGCAGGACTGAGGACATTTAAGCAGCTTTTGTTCTACAACACTCAATTTCTTGGAAAAAGTATTAACAGGCACCTGCATTATCTCTATCTCTACACTGACATTTAAAAATAAAGAAAAGCAAAACAAAAGAAACAAGCTGTGGAATGAGGAAGTGGAGTTTTAAAATACATTTTATCTGCACGTGTTATCTTCTGAGTTTCAAGTGAAATTAATCATGGCGTGCCATCCCAACAGCAACAGCAGAGCGAAAGCCATGCTAACATATAAATAAGCATAGCAGTGCAGGAACACAAGGGTGTGTGAAAATAAGACCTAAAGACTCAAAATAAGTATAGCATGTGAGGGAGGACTTTCTGCTTATTTAAAAGACAGCAAAAATAAACCTAACAGCAGGGAGTGAAGAGTGAAAGCAGAACAAAGCTCGCACAGAGGATCTGCCCCACAGCAGTGCAAACAAGGGAGTTAAAATTGAGCTTATGAAACAAAAACAGGGCAGAGGTGCGTCAAAGTGAAAAAGAGGCTAATTCAAAGTATGCCCAGCAGGGGAGAAGGAGTGAGGACCCAGAGCAGGCAGGGACTCAAGACAATGCAGGCTTACCCAGGTGTCGGGGTGCCTTCCTCCAGGGTGGAGGCCGTGTTGGTTCCATTGGTCAGGGTGCTTTGTGAGGGCATGACCAGCGAGAGGGTGACACTGGTTTTACTGGTGCTCTGGCTGTTTGAGTAGGGCACAGACACGGGACAGATACGGCCGCCTGAAAGAAGAAGTAGAAGAAAGCTGAGTCATGTATATTTGTGAGCCGCCAACTAATTTCAACAAGGACTTTAGAAAAGCAAAGGTCCTGGCTCTGGGAGTAAACCCGATATTCTTCTCAAAAGCCTGATTGTTTAGGCTCTATTTGATATTCTTTTTAACAGCTCGACTCAAGGATCAGATGTTATTTTCTGATTCTTTTCCAGGAAACCGGTCTGAGTTTAAACTGGGTATCTAATAACTGTGATCCGATGCTTTGGGATCACACTGATACACTGCTCCCTCTTCTGATACAAATGCCAATGCACAATCGTCAAATATAAAAATTTTATCTGATCTTCGGTTAAAATTTTTATTTAACATTCAATGAACCTCGTAAGGACAAGAACAAGATGTCCGGCATCAACCTTGCACGGCGGCTGAAACCAGATCCTACCAAAGAACGCCTGCAGAAGCACAGGAAGGACAAGCCAAGTGCACAAACACAAACAAGGACCCTAGATAGTCTTGCTTCAAAGAGACTGGCCTGGGGCATGAGCCACTTCATGCCACCTCATGATGTTGCTTTTCAAACACATGAGGGTAAAGTAAACAGAAGTTAATATGTTTATAGCAACAAAGACAGACACCTACACAGGAAAGCGGCAGACAACCAGGGAAGTAAACCGGAGATATTCCTTGTATGGGGAATCTTCTTCAGCAATATTGTGACGACAATTAAAACAACTGTTTGCTCAACAACATGCAAAATCCTTCGCCTGACACTTGTGCCTGAGGTCAGGAGCCTTTTTTTAACGGTACAGTATGAATAATGCATTCTAATGTGACTAACTCGCTAAAGTTTTAAATGAGGAAACTGTGTTGGTGTAGCTACAGCAGAAGGCCGCTTCTTAGACGTGCTTTCCTTGAGATATGAATCAATGCCTAAATGCCAGATCCTACCCTGCGTGGGCGTGAGCGCTGCATCAGCCAGTGGGTAGTTGAGCGTGCGGATGAGCAGGGTCATGTCTTCGTGTCGAGAGCAGTAAGTCGCCCTCTGACGGCCGGACACGAACACATCGTGGTGAAGCCGCTTGACCCGATCAACCACAGACTGAGCCACCGCCTCCAGACTGGTCTGCTGGGCTAGCTCTGCTGCTACCATGGCAACAATTTCCTACAATAGACAGCGGGGTCAGAGAAAGAAAAGGTTAATGTAAGAGTGGAAGAAGTAAGGAAAGGATTAGACCTAAGGACAGAAAAAGGAGCCTAGGAGAATAAAGGAAACAGAAATAGACTCAAACTAGGCAAGAAAACAAAACTCGAAAGAAAAAAATATTAGTGAAAGTAAGGAAGAAGAGGAAGGAATGACGATAAATGAGGTGAAAGTAGCTTATCAGAATGAATCTGCTAACCTGATTAGCCTGTTCGGGACCATGGGCGGACTCGAGGGCATTTATCAGTCCCTCTGACATCAGCAACAAGAAGCCTGTGACGCCTTCCAAAGACTGGCCGCCGTGAATCTCTGGCTCCGCAACAACTGGCTTTGACTTGGCTGCGCTGTCGTAGGAGACGGACAGCACTTAAATTAATATTAGACACATAAAAGGAAAGACGGTACGGGTCAAGTCTGCAAGATATGCTGGGGGAAGGCGACAGAGGGAGAATCCAGGATGAAAAGCAGACATAAGAGCCCCTGACCTCCATATAATAAACTAATCTTATAGATCCAAAGAAGCGCTTACATTGTTCACATCACATTTCCTGCACTCCCTTTGATGCTACAAAGGAGGAAATTCTATACAGACTCTATTATGTGTTTTATTGAGGATCATAATTGGAATGACTCAAGGGTTTTTGTTTTTTTTTATTCAGTTGGCCTCGACAACAATAGGAAGAGAGAGGTGTGAGATAGAAGAGAGCACGGGGCCCCCGGATAACAGAATTTCATACAATACAATACAGTTTTATTTATATAGCACATTTAAAACCGGAAGGCACACCAAAGGGCTTCACAGTAATATGGAAAATCAACATAAGTCAATAACAGGGTACAAATCGGGCACTAGCACAGACAGGATAGAGGCACTAACAGACCAGAAGAGTTAGATAAATACAAAATCCACTAAGAAGACAAAAACAGCAGTAAAATTAATAATAAGATAATAAATTTAATAACATTTAATAAAAAATGTAAACAATTTAAAAGTTTAAAGTTTAAAAGATTTAAAAGGGTATTAACTGGTCCTGAAAGCCAAGTCAAATAGATATGCTTTCAATCTTGATTTAAAGGATTGGATTGAGTCCAAGGCTCGAATAGAAGCAGGGAGGCTATTCCAAAGGTTGGGTGCAGCTGAAGCAAAGGCACGATCGCCTCTGGTCTTCAGTCTAAACTTGGGTTGGGCCAGGAGTAATTGACCTGATGATCTTAATGGCCGACAAGGAGTGTACAGGTTGAGGAGGTCAGTGAGGTAGCTGGGCGCAATGTTATTCAGGATTTTAAAAGTGAGTAGCAAGATTTTAAACTCAATGCGATATTTGATTGGTAACCAGTGTAGATCAACAAGAGCCGGAGTAATAGGGTCAAATTTTCTAGCTCCAGTAAGAAGGCGAGCCGCAGCATTCTGAACGAGTTGCAGCCTTCGAAGAGAGAAGGCTTGGAGACCACAGTAGAGAGAATTACAATAATCTAACCTGGAGGTCACAAAAGCGTGGATAAGTTTTTCCAGGTCCCTGTGTGGTATATAATGCTTAGCTTTAGAGATGTGGCGCAGTTGGAAAAAAACAAAACAAAAAACAGATTTAACTACAGATGACACTTGCTTATCGAGCTTAAAGGAGCTATCCAAATAGACACCCAGGTTACGTATAGAATCAGAGAGAGAGTTAGCTAAGGGCCCCAGCAGGGCAACAAGCTGGTCTCGAGGAATATGGCTGTCGAACACCATAACTTCAGTTTTTTTTCTCATTTAAAATGAGAGAATTATCTGACAGCCAATCTTTAACCTCTCTCAGTCAATCGTACAGGGAGTTCAGTGATGCTGACAAATCATCAGTCAGTTGACAATAGATTTGAATGTCATCAGCGTAAAAGTGATAAGAAATATTATATTTTTCCAAATATGAAGCCCAAGGGTAGCATATACAAAGAGAATAATAAAGGGCCCAATACAGACCCCTGGGGCACACCACAGCAGAGAGGGGCAACAGAGGAAGAGTATCCTCCCATCACAACAGAGAAGGATCTATCTGTGAGGTAAGAGTTAAACCAGTTAAGGGCAGAACCCTTGATGCCTACAACATGCTCTCTAGCCTCCTCAAGAGAATATTATGATCAACCATGTCAAAGGCTGAAGACAGATCCAATAAAACTAAAACGGCAGGACGACCAGAGTCAGCAAATACAAGAAGATCATGATAGACTCTTAGCAGGGCCGTTTCAGTGCTATGGTGTGGCTTAAAGCCAGACTGTATTTGTCAGTAATATTATTTGCAACTAAGTAAGCCTGCATTTGGAGAAAGACGGCTTTCTCTAGAACTTTTGATAAAAACGGAAGTTTCGAGATGTGTAAGGTTAAAAGAGTCAATTAGGGCAAGGAAATCGTTGGCTAGGGGGTCATCAGCACAGCAAATATGTATGTTAAAATCGCCAGTAATAAGAGCTTAGTCATAACTCAATAAAAATGAACCTAAGAAGTCAGCAAAATCACAAATAAAAGACCTATTATATTTAGGTGGTCGATAAATCGCAGCACATAGAATCGTTGGGGGTCCAGCAAGCTCCAATAGTTGAACCTCAAAACTAGAATAAGTAGGAGAGGGCAGTTGCCGAACTTTAAGTCCATCCATTCGCTTCCGCTTATCCTTTTCAGGGTCGCGGGGGGCGCTGGAGCCTATCCCAGCTGTCATAGGGCGAGAGGCAGGGTACACCCTGGACAGGTCGCCAGTCTGTCGCAGGGCCGAACTTTAAGTTTGTTTTTAAAAACAGAGGCCACGCCTCCACCTCTTCCCGAGGGTCTCGGTGAACTGAAGGTAAGGAAGCAGCTGATCTGATAATAGTTATACAGAAGTACCACCGTGCAGTTATATGCCTCCACCAGCTGGTGAAGCTGCGCTTTACATCTACAATCTCACGAGATTTATTCAGTGTAGTCCACCTCCAAACCACAGGTCACAGGATAGAGGATGTAGTCTGCCTGAGATAAATGTGATTTCTCACAGAAAATTATCAAACTAAAATGAAATGGTGTGTTGGTCCTACGCAGAGCCTGCACACAGCTTTCTGACCATCTCAGTATCTGAGCTGAGTTCTGGACACAGACGAAGCCTCTGTTTGTGAAGCAGTGCTGACACAGAGCGCCTGACAGGTGTTTTTTGTAGGGGTGAATAAAGCTATTAAAATATCTCTGGTGTTTCAGTTCTCAAGCTGGTGGACGTGTAATGAATATTGACTGTCTGCCTTGAAAGGTGAAGCAACAGCTCTAAGTTGTTAAGTTTGCAAAAATAAGGTGATCTAAAGCATAATGATCACTGCTGTACATAACAGGAAACTGACACCATGTGAGATGTCAACAAGGGACTCAAGAAAAAACAAAAACAAAACAAACAAACGTAGATACCAGACCCTTCATTAGTTACACCTTGCTACTACTGAGCTGGAACTCCCTTTTTTCCTTCAGAAGCGCCTTAATTCTTCATGGTTGTAAACATTCCTCACAGGTTTTGCAGCGCGTCCTTGATGTAAATCCCTCATTTAAACATCCCAAAGATGCTATTCAGCATTGAGATCCGGAGGCCGTGGAGGCCATTCGAGTACAGGACACTTATCTTTGAGGTAAAGAAACCAGTTTAAGATGATCTGAGCTTTGTGACAATGACTGTGGCTTTTAAACAATCCTCCACTGGTAGAGAGGAGGTAGAGAGGAGGACTGTTACAGGATGGATCCATGCTTTAATGTATACCAAACTTTGACCCTACATCTGAATGTCACAGCAGAAATCGAGGCATACTTTTCTTCCAGTCCTCTGTTGTGCATTTTTGTTGAGTCTGTGTGAATTGTAGCCTCTTTCTGTTCACAGATGAGAGGAGTGTTTAGCCTAACTCTGCTATAACAATTGAGCCTTTCAGTTAGCTCGAAGCAGACTGGTCCTTCTTCTCTGACCTCTGCATCAACAAATCATTTTCACTGTCACTCTTCTGGTTTTCAGACCATTCTGTAAACCCTACAGATGGCCATGTGGGGAAAATCCCAGTAGATCAACAGTTTCTGAAATAGTCAGACCAACAACCAAATCACATTCAAAGTCACTTAAATCACTTTTCTTCCCCATTCTGATGATCTGTTTGGACTTCAGCAGGTAGACTTGACCATGTCTACATGCATAAACACATCAAGTTGATTGGCTCATTAGAGATTTGCATTAACGAGCAGATGAACAGATGTAACTAATGAAGTGGCCATTGAGTGCAAATTCCCATTTTAAAAAAATATCAAAAGAACCACCAATAAACAGCTCTAAAATCAGGATGCCACACACACACACACACACGCACACACACACACACACACACACACACACACACACCTCAGAGGTTTCAAGACGGGCACCCAAGATCAGCCTCACTGCTTCACTATTATACCACTGGAAATATGTCCTTAAATATGTCCAAAAGTGGATTTTTGGAGGTCATGCTGACCTCGGTCTTTCACCGGAAAACTGTGAATCCAAGCTGACGCTTATGACACATTTAATGAAATTCCCTCCAGGCGTTCTTCAGCTATTGTGTGCACAAAAACTGGGCGGATGTTGTGGCTTTGATCTTTTAAACACTAAAATCTAAATCAGTTAATCATGAGTCACAGTGAATGGATGTAGCAAAATTAACAGGAACTTCCACAGTCAGACAGACGGAGCCGTTGCTATCACGGCACACAAAGAAGGTACGATACATTAAAAAGTTCCAGTATCTGGCCGACTTCCTTTTGAAGCACAAAGTCTTTTTTTTTTCACTGCCTGAGGGGTTTGAGGAGATCGATACTACTGTCCTGCTGCACAAATTCAAACTATATCCAAAAGCTAAGCTTAACACAAAGGCTGGCAGCAGTAGGAAATGACTCGCACATTTCTTGAAAGCTTGAATGCTAAAACCTCTAAACGTTTGAATTTGTATAGTGTTGCCCCTTTTTCACATGCAACATAGAACAGGAAATGGTTCATTAGTCACTGAATAATCTCATGTAGGCACAATCGAACAAAACACAGACTTTGGAAACGACAGCAAGCAGGTTAAAATAGACGCACCATGCTTAGTACTGTCTCTCAGTGACCTCATGCAGAGCCAAGAGTTGAAAAACTGGTGAAAACGGAGCATCTAGAGCAGTCTGAGGGATTTTTTTTATACACTTTGCTCAGGACTGCAGTGCCAGCTGAAAAGGTTAGAACTGGTCACATGGTGACAGGTCAAACTTCACAGTTTTTGTTGATTGTGTACCACGTCTTATCTTGTGATACTGGATATTTCTTCTAATCTTTCATCATAACCTCAAAACACAGGAACACAAGCTAAGCAGATGAAGAATGAGAATGGAGGAAGACAAAGAGAAGAAAACAAGTGACACAGATAGTTGAATATTTCTAGACAGCCTGGTGTTTTAGTGTATCCTTTTCAAGTTTTTGCATTTGACAAATTGAAAGAAAGAAAACGCATATTTTGTGTTTTTTCGGCTTCACCTGAGCACGTCAATCTCGTTGTAGTTAAATTTGACTCGGTAGTCTCCAAGCCTTCTGCTGCTGCTCTGTCCCGCTATCTGGCCCGCTTGTCTTATCCGAGCTGAATCCAGTCCTGCAGGAGATGAGGGAAAACGGACACATGGACGGTGAATGCTTATAGGAGATGATTTTAAGAGAGAGGAAAATTTAGCAGAAGAGGTGAAGGGGAGGATGGAGCAAAAGCACACAACCGATAAGCAGAAGCAGAGGTGGGGACGGGAAGGGAGAGGGGTGCATCTGTGTGTTTGAGCCTGGATGAAAATGCGAGGGGTGAGAGGTCACCTTGGTCTGGGTAAATGGAACGACTGTCATTTTTTTCCCAATCATTAAGAGAAGGACCTGAACAATGGAATAATAATGTGAATCCCAGCAAGAGACAAGAGAACAAAGCAAGGCAGAGAGCTCGGTCTCCTCTAATGGTGTGCTGTGAAACGGCGAAAACACCCCCACACACAACAAAAACACACAAAAATGCGTCCGTTTCCCCATTTCATCCATTACAGGCCAGGCTGCACCTACTGCTCTATTGGCAAAGCTAATTACGATGTATGCATTTTCTGTTATATACACAACCCTCATTACTGGACCATTAGCCTGCTCTGTCCACCACGGATGAGCAACTGTGTGCTTTCTCTAATGGCTGTGTCTGTGCTGAGCGTTATATCAAGCACAACATGCAGGGAATGTAAGACGAGGTGTGTCTGACACTGTCAATCCAAAACCCTCCAATAGTAATGTGCCAAAAATCTATTTCTGTCCATCAGTCAGAACCAAGAAGAGTTAAAAAGAAATGTCAAGATTCCCTGACTGTATCTGAAAAGTACTTAAACTCTGAGTGATAAGTTCATCGTTTATACACCCACACCGAGCAGCTTTATTTCCCCCCATCTAATAAACACCAGTAAACTGAGAGCTATAGTTTTCATGAGAACAGCTAGAGATGCTCATCTCTCTTTTCCTATTGGCTACTGCTGTGCATTTTTCTTCTCACTTAGTAAGCGAGCCCCAGGTCGCTTGCGGGCTCTTCAGGATGCTGCTGCTACATTGCTAACTCGGTCTTACAGATGGTCTCATTACTTGCGTCCCTTCACTGGCTCCCAGTTGTATTCAGGGTCCAGTTTAAAGCTCTCAACCTCACATACTGAGCATCAGCATTTCACTCTTTTTATTTATTGTGTAGCTTCTTTTTTTAAATTCTAGTGTTTGTTTTATGGAAAATTTCTTGTTTTGCTGTTATTTCCAGTTTAGTTTTAGGGATATCCAAGTATGTATACCGTGAGGAATGAGTTGTTATTTGTAGTTTGCTCACTCACAAAGAAATGAACAGTCTCTCATTTTTATGGTAGTGTCATAATGGAGAGACAGAATATCAATCAAAAATCTAGAAAAACACATATCACATAAAAGTTATAACACGGATGATGAGTATAACAATGCAGTCAGGTTTCTGGCTCCCACAGCCTGGCTGTGTGCCACTATTACTATCAGTCACTTACAAATACTCCTGGTCTCAACTTGTGTGTGTGTGTAAAGCACATCTGTCCACAGATGCAGCTTCTTCCCACCTCATCACCAACATGTGCAAGACCCAAGAGCTGTCAAAGGACGTCAGGGACCAAACTGTAAACCAGCACCAGGCTGGAATGGACAACAAGACCATCAGCAAGAAGCTTAGTGAGAAGCTTCAAACTGCTGGTGTGATTATCTGAAAATAGAAATATTTTCAACATCAAGCACACTCTGTCTGAGCTTATGCAAGATCTTGCCCGAAGATGGAGGATAATCACATGAAAGGTAGTTGATTAGCTCAAAACTACACGAGGAGCTTTTTAATGGTCTGATGGCAGCTGGGACAACAGTCACCAAGAACAAATTCAGTAACACACCGGTTACAAGTTTTAGACACCTAATGGACTCAAAAGGCTTGGGTGCAGGGAAGGTTCTGGGGTCAGATGAAACCAAAATAATGCTATTTGGCATAAACTCAAAGTGCTGTGTTTAGAGGAAGACCCAAAGAACATCCATACAGTCAAGCACAGAGGTGGGAACAATAATGTATGAGGTACAGGAAGACTTCAGTGCACTGAGGGGTCAAACAAAGAAAAATCTTGATGAGAACCTCCTTCTCTTAACCAGAACAAAAGTGAAGATGTGTCTTCCAGCATGACAATGACCCAGAGGGTAGATAAGGAGTAGATCAAGAAAACATTAAGGTTATGTAGTGGTTAGCCAGTCTCCTCAGTCCTATAATAAATCTGTGGAGGGAGATGAAGCTTCCAGTTGTGAAGCAGCAGCCAAGAAACCTAAACGATTTAGAGATTCTCTGTAAAGACGAGTGGTTCAAAATCCCTCCTAAGATGTGTGAAAACCTGGTGACCAACTACAATTTTTTTTTATTGCTGTGGTTAGCAACAAGGTTTTTTCCATCAAGCACTAAGTCATGCATTGCTTGGAAATCAAATACCTGTTTCACTTTAATGAGATGTGCTTTATAACTTTAATGTAATGATTAATTTTCTGGATCTTTGGCTGATAATCTGTCTCTCTAAATAAAACTCAAATTAAAAAAATAAATAGACTGTTTATTTCTTTGTAAGTGAGTAAACGTACATGTTCAGCAGCAAATTCGGGATCAAATAATGATTTTTCTCCACTATGCCACATATAATGTGTCTCACCCAGTGCAGCCAGTCTCTGCAGCTCATCCTCGTTGTCGGTACTGTGCGGTCGGCCGATCTGAAGCACCTGGTTCTGGCCGTCACTGCTGGACTTGCACAGCAGGACTCGGTTCGTCCCTGAAACCAAAGGAAAACATGCTTGAAGGTAACTTGAAATCAGCAAGAGGTAAAACTGTTAGTTGAGTCGGTTGAAGTAGATACACTAAACTGTATAAATGATCTGCTTTCCCAAGAAGAAGAAGAAGACACATTTTCTGAGGTCTTTCAATCACAGGTGCAGTTAGTAATACAAGTGACTGTATTTCCCTCTGATGTGTCGAGGTATAAAGTATGTTTGATCAGTGGATCAGCTAACAGTGAACTGGAACACAGCAAACATTAACAGTATTAGTTGCTCCTATGTTGTTGTTTTTGCTTAAAGACATTTAAATGTTATGCAAATATTAAGGCTCTACTGGATCATGAAACTGAAAGCAGCCATTATTGTTATACTTTACCCTGTGTTCAACAAGTCTAAATATCTGCTATTAACAAGGCCCCATTGTGCCTCCGATGTTTTCACATCAGCTCTCAGCTAAGAGCTGATTCACCTCCAGGCCTTTTTCGACTTTAGTTGTTGTGGTTACTGGGGTGAAACATACTGAAAACTAATTTCAGTGTTTCTTGTCAAACCAAACTTTGAATGGTTGTATGTGTTACTTTTACAAGGAGAACAGCACCACACACACGATCAATACTTTATTATTTTTTTACTATCTGTAAAAAGCACTTATGTGTTTTCATTACTCACCAAAGCTAATGCTGACTTAATTCCTGTTAAATTTTAATTAATTTTACTCAGCGTTGGCTAATGAACATCTGGTCGACAAACTGTTTTTTTTTTAAAGGTTGTAGAGGTAAGTCATCAAATGGTAAAATAAGCTGTAATGACCAAAAGCATCTTTGTAAGCATATTGAGGCAAAATTGGGCCTTTTAGCATACTGTTTTTTCTGCACTATAAGGCGCACTTAAAGTCCTTTAATTTTCCCAAAAAACGACAGTGTGCCTTATGTATGAATTCTGGTTGTGCTTACTGACCTCAAACCAATTTTATGTGATACACGGCGCTCAAACATCTGTCAAAAAATGTTTTAGTACGACTTTGGTAAGCAAGAAGCAGCACCGCTCGATGGATTGTCGGAGCGTTACGGCTACTGTAGTCAGGAGCCTTGTGGAGTAATCTGCGTCCAAAACTCCGTCTGCTTCAGGTCCCAAAGTCAAACGAACACTGCGGCACACTGTGAGTTAAAAACTGTCTAAATTCTTTCATCTTTAATAAAATGATCAGCGCTGCTGCTTTACCAGGTGTAAAAATTAAGTTTAACATCCATGAAAACAGAATATATTAAATTTAACAGAGTTAGACGTTAGAAGGAAGTTAGCTCGCTAGTTTCCACCTAAACATATAGCATGTTCTGACAGAGATTTCTGAAAAAATTTAAATGTACAGCTCTGTCATCACTTCCAACATAAATGAAGACGGAAAACTAAACAGCAGGGACGTTTGTAGGGTTACTAACTGCTTAATGTGATTTATAATCCGGTGCGTCTTACGGTCCAAAAATACGGTACAAGTCAAAGGAGCTGCACAGTTTTTGGCACATCTGGATTTTCTTTATTCTTCAGCCCTGCTGGTTGCTCTTTCGTGTAGCCTTTTTTTTTTTAAAAGACCACAGAGCTAACATGTCTCTTTTAGCATCAAAAACAAAGGATTGCTTTTAAAATATTATATACATGTCAATAAACAGGTGCCATAAGGTGCACCTTCCATATAAAAGTTTATATAAAAAAGTTTTATGAAATAAAAACAAGACAAAAAATGTTAATTACAAAAAAAAAAATACTGTCTCATCTTTCTCAGCCCCTATCCATATTCATGAGACATTTGGACTTCTAATTTTTGCACGCATTAATCATGCAGAGGCTTTGATGTTGCTCTGAGGTTACTCACAGGTCCGACTCTCCACCAATTAACGAGCTAAGACACTGTGGTACTTTTAAAAAGCTAAATATTAATTATTTGCCTCTGCAACCACACAAAAGCTGAGCAGGGAGAGATCAATGATTAATTCACTTTTATATTAATAGTTTGGGGCCGCTGAGCCGAAGCACGGTGCAGTTCCACGCTGCCCCCGCCTCCGGCCAAATCTTATGTTCGGCTGTGTGTGTGTGTGTGTATGTATGCATTATTCATATAATCCGCACATAAGGGCATCCGGATCAGCCCCAATACACAGGGAGGGGTCCGTGTCACCTTCTGTGTTAATCAGGTAGTGTTGGGTTTAAATCTGATGTGATAGTCAGGAAAACGCACGTCTGTTAATCTGTAAAGAGCAGCCAACCATTTCTGATATTGAGCGTTTACATATCGGCGCCCTTCCCCCTTTCTCCAAACACTCCAACTTGCAGCTCAAACTGTGACTCACATGACCTTAACTGTCAAACTGCGTTTCACATCAACACACAGCTGGGAGTGATTTTCAAGCACACTTACTCCTATGTTTAAACATCCCTGGGCCTCATGTTCTGTCAACTTTGAACTCTTGACCTCCCCCCCCCTCCCCCCTCACTCACACAAAGCACCAGAGGGGACAACAGTCCCTCCTTTCTACCATCTACTAATTACTACCCACCTCCCCATATTGTGCCCTGTTCCACGTCCTCAAGGACAAAAGAAAAATCCAACTGAGAGGGAGGGGCTCTTTTCCTGTGTGTGCCCCAGCATCAAATCAGGAAGCTAAAAGAAAGAAACGTGAAGCAGTGCTTTTAAAGGGTTTTGCAAAACTGAGGTATTTCCAATAGGTAAGATTCATCCCCTGGATTAGTGAATAAATCCACCAAAAATAGGAATATCCAGTGTTCACATTTATCTGAAACAAAGCTCAATATGCAGCAGCCTTTGGCAGCAGCTTTGATGATTATTAGACTGAAATCCTTCTGGGGGAAAATCGCTGTCGCTCTTCAAAGTTGGTGCGTCTGTGTGGGAAGAACTGCGCCCTGCTGCCTTGTTTGAACTTTCTTACAGTTAAGGATCTAAAATGGCCTGCGGGTTTGTGTATTCAGATATTAACAGTAGATGCTCGTTTTCCACTCTGAAGCTTAAAGAACACATAAACACACACAATAAATCATGCAGGCAGAACTAGCTGTTATGATGCTAGTACTGCAGCTGTTGTCCGCGGGAGCCGAGTCGGCAAGCTGGGATTTAAAAATATTGATGGACACTGTTGGTATGGTTTGAATTAAAAGAGTCAATATCATTCCATAACTCCATCTGTCTGTGGGCTGCTGGAAACACAGCATGTGGAAATGCTGTGATGGCATTTGGTTATATACTAACCAAATCACCATCTCTGACGAGGCTTCATTGACATATAGCATATATTACATTGCCAAAACTATGTTTGACTGCTTTTACATGCATCTAACTCGAGTAACATCCCATTCCCGTTTAACGTGATGTTGACCCCTTTGCAACTATATCAGCTTCAACTCTTCTGCAAAGGCTTTCCTCAAGGTTTCGGAGTGATTATGGGAATTTTTGACCATTCTTCAGATGCAAATTTGTGAGGTCAGACACTGATGTTGGACGAGCAGTCCCAGCTCACAGTCTAAGCTCTAATTCATCCCAAAGGTGTTCTGTTGGGTTGATGTCAGGAAACTGTAGAAGCCAGTCAAGTTCTCCCACTAAAATTCGCTTATTCATAGACCTTGCTTTGTGCACTTATTTGCAGTCATATTAGAACAGGAAGGGGCCATCTCCAAACTGTTCCCATGAAGTTGGGAACATGAAATTGTCCAAAATGTCCTGGTACGCTGAAGCATTAAGAGTTCCTTTTACAGGAACTAAGCCCAACTCCTGATCAATAACCCCACACCATAATCCTGCCTCCACTAAACTTTACACTTGACACAAAGCAGTCAGACAAGTAACGTTCTCCCGACAACCACCAAACCCATGCTTGTCCATCAGAACTGCTAGACGGAGAGGTGTGATTCGTTACTCCAGAGAACACATCTGCACTGCAGAACATTTCAGCTGGACTACTCCTAGTACCTACAGCTGATGCTGAGCATTCAGCATCAGCTCACATAGTTGGTTAAAAACAAGAAAACCCCAAATACCCTCTTTGAAGAGATGGAGGTTTCATGGCTTTAAAAGAGAGTCTGGCAGCACTCTTTAGAAAGAGAAGTCACGTCTGCAGAATCTGCCACACAAGTTTAAATCTACTATTTATGAGTGTTACGATTTTTTCTCAGTGCTGTCAGGTAGCTATCAAGTTCCATGGCAGCTGGCATAGATTTATATGTATGTTTTGTCTTCACTAAACCTTTCTGCGTGTGGATTAACAACTCATTTTCCCCCTCCTTTACCTAGTTGATAGGCAATGAAATGGCACAAAAATGTTCCCTGCTTGTGTTCGTTTGCTTTGTTTAAATAAGAATACTTTAAAGTGGGACTATTATACTCTTTCTTAGTGCCACCCTTTCAGACAGCTTTCTTCTCATCAGCTTCACTCGAAAAAAAAGTCTGATCACAGAGGCCTTTCCCACCTGTTGTTCAGTTTTCCAAACGTCAGATCTAGCAGATCCCCAACACCACTGGCTGATTTGAAGTGTCACATTATAACAGAGCCGGCACCTTATTTTATAGATGGCTGCAGACACTCACTGTTGTACCTCTCCCCTGACCTTCTCTGTACATACTGATGATGACTTGAACCAAAGATATTACATTTCAAATGGATTAATCACTGCATATTTTGTGTTGCCACGGTTTGTTATTGTGTAATTTGGCATGCCTCAGCCTTTTCTTCCTGTTTCCCTTCCTCAAAAATGCCTTCTTGACAGCCAGCCTTCCACTGAGACCATCTCTGATGAGGCTTCACCATTTCTTTGGAAGTTCAGTTTAGGAAATGGGAACAAATTCTGTGTTTTAGTGCCAAGCTTCTAGTAACAAAGTGCCTAAAGATACAATTTAAAATGAGTTCTTTATCAAGTTGTTATGTGTAGACACTGCACTGCTTCATCCATTGACACAAACTATTATTCCCTAATGTAACACTATATTGGCTCTCAACTGCATCAGGATGCAATACAGCCATTTCTCCAACCTTTAATAAGGAAGGCATTATTCTCCGTCAGTGAACAAGTGCATTCCATAAGTATATATAGAGACTGTGACACTGTGGAGCTAACATGGATTTTCATGCTGAAAGCGGCCTCGGTCATTTCCACAGAGTGGCCAGTAACCAAACACAAATCTGTGTGAAGCCTGACATCTGCTGGTGCAAAGCAGACTGTGTCATGGCTGTCTGTTACTGGCTGGCCTTTTGGTGGTTTTGCTGCCAACTGTTTCTGTTGCAAATGATCGAGTGCGATCACACATTAAACAGGAAATCAAAGCGTCATCGCTGACATAACCAGAATCAACTTACCAACGTTTGCAATGTAGAGCTTGTTATTGAGAATGAGCGCCACCGCAACCGTGGCGCCTCCTGACACCTCCTGCTCTAGCTCCTTCAGCCGCTCCATCACCTTTTGACTCTGAGGAGAAAGCTGGTGGAACGGAACATTCTGATTGGCCGAGAGGTGAAGGCACAGAGTAAAAGATGGAAAGGAAGAGGAAAATGAAGCAAGTAGGAGCAGGACAGATGATAGGAAATGAAGGGAAAAAAGAGAGAATTAGACAAATGATAAAAAAGCAAGAAAAGAATAAGAGCTGAGTATCTTATCTGACGAAAGAGAGTGATGAGCCCAAATAAAAGAATAACAAGCTCATTCTCCCGTGGCTAAATACTTGCTCACATCAAAGCCTAAATCTGTGGTTGTTATGGAAACCAAAAGAGAAAAGAAAAAAGTGTTCCTACCTCATTGTGCGGTAGGAGGTAGTTGCTCAGGTTAGCCTTCTCAGCCAGAGCATCATCTATGGTTTCAAAGTAGCTCTTCTCCACCACATCAAAGGCCTGCAGTGCAGCAACAACAGCGTGTATAATGTCAAGTGTCAACACACGTGAGAGCGAGCGTCACTACTGAACACTTAATGCTACTGAAATGTCAACTCAGGCTTAATGGGCCTGGACTGCAGCTGGCAGTGATGGTCCTTGTTTTGCTCGTGACCAGAGCAGAACAAGGACCATCACTGCCAGCTGCAGGCCAAGAAGCTACAGTTGGAGATTCAATGAATGAAAACAAGGACCACGAGATCAGCAGGTAGAGGAAGTAGAGAGTGAACTTGAGTGAACTTTCAGAACAGCAACGAGGGGATTGTCTGCTACTGAATGAATTGCAGATGGCACTGAAGACATGACAAACATAAGATAAGAACACACATGCAGCCCGCGTTCACACAAAAAAATACTTATTACATATGTGCACAGAAAATCTATAATCTATAAACTACAACAGAGAATTTTTACTGACTGAGTAGTGAAAAGTGAAAAACACCTGGGAGACCTGCTATGTGAGGGAAGCACAGTGTATGAATACGGTTCATTTATGCCACAGTAGTGCATAATGACCCACACAGAGCATCTTTCTATAATCTGACTAGCCCTTAAATGCACTGCACGGTTATGTTTCGTTTTTTGTTTAACGCAAAAAGCTTTAAGTCGCATTAAACGATCGTTAAAAAGTGAAACAGGCATTTCACATTAATATGATTTAAATAATATCCATAAATGTTTTTGTAATGTGGGGGAAAATAAAACCGCTGGCTTAAGTATTAAATCAAAATATGTAGCGGCAGCAAACGCAAGCAATGTCTTTGAGGCAAGAATGAGATTTTACACTTTTATTCATTTATTAAAATAATCAGCGCAGTTTCTGCCTCAAGGAACTGCGCTGATTATTTTAATAAATGATAAGGCTGGCGTTTCTCCAGATTAGCTTATTAATGACATGTTTCCGAAAAGTTTTATCCAGCATGTCTGAGTATATATTTTTTTCCATATGAAAATAAAGCCTTGTTTATAATGTATTAGTATTATTTATATACTAAAAGGTAATAACTTCAATGTAGCTTTATTTTAAACATATCTGAGGGTAGTTTAAACATTTAACCCTCACATAGCGACCACGGTGGGCCAGTGCGTTTCTATGATTTTGTATAAAACACCCTGTATTTTAACATTTTTGAATAATATCAACACTTAGCAAAGGACCAGGACTAAAAATAAAAACGTGAAGATGAAATATTTTGTGATCTTTCACAGTTTTACCCCTGAGGCACCTCAAACACTGCGGTCAGTGTTTCTCTCAGATCACCGGTTACCTCGTAATACCAGGTGTGGAGCATCCACAACTATTTACTATGGAGGAGGCTGCTTGTGAAAGGAAAGCGATACAAGTCGCTGAGTCAGTGAACCTCACTTCTTCCTGAACACAGCAATACTGAACTGAGTTGTTGAGGATTTCCAGAACCTTTCCGTAAGTGTGTGCTGCTGTTTTTGGCACTGTTAGCTGCTGTTAGCCTGTGTTACTGAAACCTCCTTCAAAGTGGAAGTACAAGGCTGGACTTGGACTTTTAGTGAATAAACTCCCATACAACCTGAGAATGTAATCAAACTGTTTAGCAGAGGGAAAGCGTGCTTTTTTAGGACACTCTAGCCTGTTTTCTGGCATAACGTTAGCTTATAATTAGCAACTGCCGTCACAGCTGGCTCTTGTCTGCTGTCGGGAGACATGAGGGGTCACATGTCTGATCTGCTGAAAATCAGCAACTACAACAATACTAGGAATAAATAAGAACGTTCATAAACATTTTTGCGTGTAAGATCCCTGTATTCAGTTCAGGACATGGGGCTTCAGGTGAGCATGGAGCTGGAGGAGGCAGATGAAGAAGAGAAGGATGACAAAGAGATGATGAAATGTACAAAAATAAAAATAAAAATGACCCAATTTCTGTCATCGTCAATAAAATGATCAGTGTGGCTGCTCTACCAGGAGCTCTACCAGCTCTACTTTGATCCACCTGCCACCAACACAAGGTTAGTCATTGTGCACGGTTTTGACGACTCGCTGTGAAAAAATTCCTGATCTTAAGCTACATGTTCCAACTGAAAGCCTCAGAATGATTCTTTCATGGATCGCTCATATATTTGGTTATTAAACGCAGTAAGAGCTTGGGACCAGAAGCAGGGCTGACACAGACTGGGCTAAAGAGGCTTAAAGATTCATTTTGTGTGTGCAGTGTTTTGTCACAGGCTCTGCCTTAACAGACTGCAAAAGCAAGAAAATGTTTCTAGTTTCTTTCCTCAACAGTTACAGCAGTTAACTTAACAGACCTGTGTGAGGATCCTGCGGACGTCGTTGTCTGTGTGACCGGAGTTTAGCTGCCCCAGGAGCAGTTCCGCTGTCAGACACTGGGAAGCAAAGTTGGCCACTCTGCTGCCATCGTAACCATTAAAAACCCCGTACAGGAAACAGCCATCGTCACCTCTGTGGGAAAAAAAAAAAGAAAAGCTCAACAAACATGGCACCTATGTTTGAAAAAACTATGGATTACTCTCAGAGCCATGCTATCTTTTCACGTTTTCGCTGTGTTTGTTGCAGTAACAAATGTAAGAACATTTGTATAAAAATGATTCATTTACAAATAATTAGACGAGCAAAGTCACAACGATGAAACACATTTCTCTGGCAGAGCCTGAGCCTCTATAAAAAGGGACATATACCAACTACCTATTTCTTTACCGCTTCAGTGACTCAGACATTACCAGTGCACATTTAAAGCTACATGTTTATGTGCTCTGCCCAGGCATTGCTGTGTTTTCCTGCTAAGTCCAAGATCTTTGTTTTTCTGTGAGATTAAATAAGAAACTATTCAGGATTTTACTGGTAAGAAACACTGCTACCGATAAGTTTGATCATAAATCTCAGTACAGTTTTAAGTCAGCAAGTTTCCTTACAACATTAGCAAGGACTGGCCCAAGTAAACAGACAAACTCAAAGTGGATGCATTATGCATGTTCCCTGCGCAGTATTAGTTTAATTCTTGCACTTTCTAAAGCAGCTCTGAACAAGTTCACAGTTCAAAACGATGACCCTTATTTGTCTCACACTGGACGAATCGTGTACCTGAACCTGAGGTGTCCATCCTCATTGGGGTGGCTCTGAGTTCCTTTGCCATCAGGGCCGTACACACAGTTGGGTGCTGTTCCGACCCCACACATCTGACACAGAGGCAGGTCATCTGTCCAGCTTTGATGCTGCTAATAAAAAAAAAGAAAGAAATCAAAAAAGAAAAATCAAACAAATACTTGGCCTACGTGCTAAACTCAAGTTTGAAAGCAGTATTTGTTTAAAATAAAAGATTTAAACCGACACAGAAATGAATTAAACTGTCATCACAGATATTTTCCCTACACCTTTATCCTATAAAGTTGCCATAATGAAGACAACCAGCTTTGATATGATGAGGTTTCATTGACATTTGAATTTATTAAATGGTCCAACAGGAAATTACAAACACTTCTGTCAGATGCAGCAACACACTCAGCACCGATGGTGCTTTTGTTTGTACTGCAGCCTCCCTGAGCCAGAAAAATAGGTCATTCATCATTAGGTGCTCCTATTATACTATACTATACGATTTATTTTGCATTACTCTTAAGCATATTTCACTGTTAACATTGTAGATGACGTTCCTGGTGTCAGTCACTATAAACACATTCGGTATACTTGTAATGGAAAGTGTCGCACACAGTCGTGGTGAAAACAAAGCACATCCTCTTTCAATTCTAAAGTTTTATTATTATAAAGTTACGTTTTTATTATTTACACAAATTAAGCCAAAATGGAGAAACTGTGTGTGAATAAACTAAGCACACCGTTACTTACACTGCTTCCAAGTGAACACCTCTATAACATCAGACATTTTGGCTGTTGAGATGTGTGTCACACGCATAAGGAAAGACGCTAGCGATGATCTTAGAGAAGTAAGTGCTGTCTCAATCAGTCTGGGGATGGTTGGAAAGGTTAGAAGTTCTTTTCTAAACAATTTGAAACTGGGTACAACTTTAGGACTGAAAGAGGGTGTGTTTACTTTTCACTGTGACTGTGAACGACACTTTCTATTACAGATAAGCCAATGTCTTTATAGTGATATCGATACAGCAGATTATAATCTACATGGGCAGGTTAATACTCTGAGGTTTTGCCACAGTGCACAGTGACATGTTTGGACAAAACCAAACACACCATATCAGCACAAATGCAACTCAAGAGGACAATGATCCAAGTAACAAGTCTACAGGAAAATGGTGGAAAAGGTGTGGGGGCTGTGGCTCAGTTGGTTTAGTGCAGGGGTGGGCAACTCCAGGCATCAAGGCCGGTGTCTTGCAGGTTTTAGATATCACCCTGGGTCAACACACCTGAATCAAATGACCAGTTCACCAGGCCTGTGGAGAACTTCAAGACATGCTGAGGACATAATTTAGCCATTTAAATCAGCTGTGTTGGATCAAGGACACATCTAAAACCTGCAACACACCGGCCCTTGAGGCCTGGAGTTGCCCACCCCTGCTTTAGTGGGCTGCCTGCCAATAGGAAAGTTGGTGGATCAATTCTCGACTTCGATGAGTGTGTGTTAACACTTAGGTGTAGACAAAAGAACTTTATAAATGTGTGTGTGTGAGAGAAAGAGAGATGGAGTGGCTATCACTTATAACAGAAGCACTTTCAGTGCTCAAATACAGCAGAAATGCGCTAAGAGCCAGTCCATTTATTTGTTGCAATAGTCCAGTCTTCAACCTGACTTAAATGCTGTGGTGGGGGATGTGCATAAAGAGATACTAATAAACCGAACAATGAAGTCAAACAAAGAAAAGTCAGCCAAAGTTCATCACAATGATGTGAGGTAGTGATAAACTACTGCTTAAGGTGGTTCAACAAGCTACTGAATCGTGGTCGCTTTCAGATTGCTTCTACATTTGAACTTATTTAACAAGAACTAATAACAGTGTGTCTGTCATGTGTTGTTGTTCATCTGAGGTTGTATTTACCTGCTCAGAAGGATAAACTGTGTACTTCCGTTTTACCACACCTGTATCTGCCTTACCTTGCCTAAAGTTTTAATGTGAATCATTGACGCCCAGGAGAGACCGATAGCATCTCCGCGTAGGGCAAATGGGAAGCAGTCTATGTAAAATTAAAAGTGTCATAAGATATCTACATAATCACAAAACGACTGAGAAAAGTTAGTCGCTCGGAAAAAGTCGTTTGTGTTGTTCACAATATGGCTAATTACCAGTTTGTGACTCAAGTTTAGCTAATTCACACAGGTTATATGGACGATATCCCAGGCACTGCAACTGCAACAACAGCATCGGTCGTGTTATTGTCTCCTTCTGCTTCAAGTGATAGCGTTTCTCGGTGCTGAATACAGACGCTAATAAATCGTATTAGTCCAATTTTTTTTCAATTAAGGTGCCTAGCTAACTGTTAGCCAAACACTCCATGAGCTCAACTAAATTAGCTACACAGGAAGCATTGGACCAAACAACCAGCGATGAACACCGAGAAAAAGACTGTAAGACGCCAGTCTTCAAAAGCAGAGGAACTTTGCACATATTGAGTTACTGAGAGTAACAAACGGCAGGCTTTTCACTTACGCTCTGCATCAAATTCCTACGCTGGGCCGCCATGTTGAACGGAACTCGTTACGTTCACGATTCAGCACAGAGGTAGAAAATCTTAGCTTCAAAGTCTGAAGTTGGAAGGCAAGCTATGCGAGAGTAAAATTGAACTAAAAATATATATCTAAACCGACAGCTAAATTCACCATTACCAGGTAGTATACGGATATAAAACGTATTCACATATTAAAATTATTGTTATCGCGTTTTAACAACAGGAACTGCATACACGTCTTGCTTTCTTATACCCGTCTTTCCTAATTCTTCCACATGCAAGTCTGTGAGCCATGATCCAAATTCAGGGGCTGCGTCCCTTGAAGGATATCGGAGACGGTAAGATTTACACTCGTCTGCTAAATTGCTACAGCAATTCTGATGGTATTTGAAGGCAGCATATAACGTCAAGCTCGTTTGTTTGTTTGGGCTTTTTTAAAATCTCTTTCTAAGCGTGCTTTGTATTTCCATAATACATTTTTGATTTGCCTCATTTATAAAGTGGAAAAGATAAGTAAATAATAATAAACTGAAAAAAACTGTTTAAATAAATAATAAAACGACAAAAAGAAAGGAAGAAAAACTCCCGACTTCTGCTTTTTTGCTGAAACGGATTTCTTTGACAATACCGCCACCATGTGTTTACCATAAACTACCTCTACCTACCACTTTTTGCTTTACACTTTTTATGTTTATTGTGATTGTAATTTCTTAAACTACCATACTAAACTTCTATATATTCAATCGCCCTTCCAAAAAAGTAGCACACATTCTTAATTTAGTATTTTGTGCTTAGACTATCTATTTTTCCATATTATAAAATTAGCCACACATGCGCTTAGCAGCTTTACTCTTCTCGAATTAACTATTTTAAAAGTACGTTAACTGTGTGAACTAAAACAAAAGAAAGAGCAAGTTTTAAAAAAAAAAGCTGAATAACTGCATTAAATTAAAAGCTGTCTTGCAGTTGAACTCGCGGGTAAAACTCCTGCCAGCAGGGGGAGCTGTGTCTTATAAATAGTGGACTAACCAGCCTGCTTGTGACCATTTACAGCTTTGAAAAATAAACGGATAAACGTTTCCTGCATAAGTAAGCTCACCCCAGGTGAAAAGTTGATATTTTTCAAGAGAGATACAACATTTAGAACTTAAATCTTGAGCCACCCCCACATCAAGTGGTCTTCAGCAATAGTTCTCCATGCTTTCTGACAGTCTTTCAAAATATTTCTTTTGCCATTGAGTGATATTTTTTTTTTTTTTTGTTGCTGGCATATCCCAGCAATATGTTTAGTGTGCCCTCAGAAAATGTGAGGACACTGGATAAGAGGAGGACAAGATGTGAAGTGGCAGGCCTAAAAAATATCTACACGAGATGAATAAGATCTGTAAGTCATTTCGTTGATCCATCTGCTGTTCAACGAAACCTCATCAGAAACTGTTTGAGTGAACGGGTGGCTGACAAGAAGCCATTTTTAAGGAAGGGAAGAGAAAAGAAAAAAACGATTGGACTGTAAATCAGTGCCTACAGGTATCACAGTGAGTGTCTACAGCCACCTGTAAAACCCAGTGGACGCTCTGTCCTTTTTGGGGGGCAGCATTTCAATCAGGGCTGTGGGGATCTTGTCAAAACTGCTAAAATTATGAACTCAGAGAAGTACTATTAGACCTTGAGCCAGATACAATAGCATCGGGAAAGCGTCTGATTGGGAAAGGATTCATTTTTCAGCACAAAAACAACCACACACACACTGCCAATGTATTTTAATTCTGAGGGTTGGCTCATAAAGTTTGCACAGTACTGTAATCCAAAAATCCAACACCAGAGATTCTCATCTCATCTTGCATTTTTGTTCAGTATTTTCTTTATTTTTATTGGTTAAAACCACATCAGAAACATACATTTGTACACAATTGTTTTTTCTTTAATCTTAATTTGCTTCATTTCACAGAGGAACATCACACATTTCTACATCTACACAGATGTACAGCATAAAGTATATATGTGCATATATACTTTGATAATTTGGTCACATTTTCCGTAGCCATATATATGTATGCATATTTTAATATTTAATATTGTTATCCCCAAAATAAAAACTTCTCCTTACCTCGAGAGCAACACAAAGGATGAGGCATGGATAACCTCACCATATATCTTATCACAATAACACTCAACAGACCACAGAGCTTTCTTTCTTTTGTCTTTTTTAAATATAGAACTAACTTAATGCCCTAAAATAAAGCAGAATCTTTTTCAAACACTGTTATATACTCAATTATAGATTTACATATGTTTATACAGACAGATACACTGGAGAAAAATGGAGCACATGGAGCAGCGATGCATGTTCATAAATATTGAGGATGCCTGCAGATTTGTTGACAACGAGCGGAAAACACACAAGTTTTCCGCAGACCTGCTGATAAGGAACGCTCTATACTGATGACAAATGCTTGCTTTTGTAAAGTGGTTTGACGTGCTCAAGGACAAAACAGGACCAAATTCGTTTTGCTGTACATTAAGACTTTGAAAGAGAGCATCAGTGTGTTGTGGAGGCTTGTGTTCCTGCGTGATGGATTCTGCTTGGCAGTCAGCACTAAGGCAACAATTGAGGACAGAAAAAGCTTCACAGGGAAACATAAAAACATTTCAAGGAAAAAAGAAAAAAAGGACAAATTTCAATACAAACACAGTCTCATTATACAGGGGAGGGGATTAGTTGCCTGATACGCCACTGCTGCTTGTTTATCTATGCTGATATCCTGTAATGGCCCATCGACGAGTTCTGTCAGCAAAAACTTGTGTTCGCAGCATCGATAGGCTGTGAACCTGTGCGTGCGTGTCTGTTTGGGAGCGTTTTAGCTATCGCACTTATTTTGCTGACCAACTGAAGACCTCACAAGTTGAAGGCAGTGTGGTCACAAGCATTGATCAGCTACAGGGTGACCTGCCGATAGTTTCTAATCCACCCCCTGCCCCCAAACCCCGAATTAACACCTCCAGTAAAACCTGGCGTGTTTGCACTCTGTAGCTCCTTCCCAAGGATGAAGTGAACCCACTGATGTTTGTCTGCCTAACTGCAGATCACCACCTGTTACCTATGCATCCAAAATCTGGGGGATGCCCAAGATTTCTTTGTGGAGGTTTTTTTTTGACAAAAAGACAGATAAACTTGCCAGAATTGATGACATTAACTTCTTCTGATTACTACAGTGTTTGTCACATGGGATAAAAATCACCACCTAAATGCAGAGGCTGTTGTTAAGATCACAAAGTCAACTGAGCTGATCGTTGGTGTAAGTCTTAAATGTAAAATGTCATAATCTCTCCCTGTTCTTTTTAAAAGTACGCTCTTTTTTTGTTGTACTGACCTTTAATAATATGTTTTCTTTACATTATTTATTGTCACAGGCACATTATTTTGTGCACATAACCAGGGGTTAAAGCGGGTCTTAACAATTTTCTGGTAGCCTACCTTGAGTTAATAAATAATAAATGATTGTGGAATGAGTTCATTTCTCTTATGCTTCAGCCTGGTGTTACTTCCAGTGATGGCCTGGAGACACTTGCTCAGTAGTAAGAAAATAACAACACACCACAGAGCTTTTACACATTAACACGTCCCCTTTTCCTTCTCATCCCTGTGATGTGTTCATGGTGCAGATGTAAAGTTGTGGTCGTGGTACTTCAGCATCTTCCTCGCACTAAAGACGAGGAGAATAAATGGAGCAACTTAGTGTACTTCCCAGAGAGAATTTCATCTCAGAGATGAAATTTAAAGCTGTAATAAAATTGGTTTCAGAGTTTTAAAATCTACACGTGTTGTCAAACTAATTGAAGTATACTCATTTTAGACAGTCAAAAACTGCAGGTTAGTGTAGTTAGTTTGCAGTTCTGTGATAGAGCTTACAATGATGCACTGTGTTAGACTGTTATAGGCTGTGGTGTTGTGGTGTTAGCTTACATCAGGTGTAGCAGACATCAATTTACATTTAAGGTGATGGCGTGGTGCACACTTACTCATAGAATCCGATCTTTTTATACTAACTTTTTACTGTCTAGGTGAAATCAGCCGTACATGCAGCTGCTTACATCTTGTGAATAACAGTGAATATCGAGTCACAGCATGAACACAAAGAAAAATCTGCTGGAACTCAAAAACCAAACAAGGATTTTATGTGAATTATTTCAAAGTAAATCTTTTCTCCCCATGCTGCACCGCTACACCCGATCTTCAGGTCTCCTCACCTGCCAGATCCCACTTTAACCCCTGCGCATAACAATAAAAACAGTAAATTGTAGCAATAAATTTGCAACTCAAAACTTGAGGTTGTTGGATCTAGGATGTGATAAAAGATCTGCCCAATACACTAAGTAATGGATTCAGTGTTTCTTGTGTAACACAAAACAGCACAAATATTATTTTGAAGTAGAAACCTTGGACAACTTCATCAGCATACATAAATGTCTCCTAACATCTCAGTATTCTTGACGCTGGTAGCCTCCGGATCCATCGAAGGCCCCGTCACTGTTGGTCTGGCCTCCTCCTCCTCCCGGGCTCTCCAGGTCATCCCCACCGAATGAGGTGTAGGGGGCTCCGGCTGCATCCTGGCTGGGGTCTGTGTAGTCCTGGGAGAAGAGGGCCGAGTCGGCCCCTAGCTTGTATCTCTGGAAGGCCAGGAAAGACTGGCCCGCCTTGGCGATGAGGATCGTAAATGGGAAAGGACGAGGAGATGAATAGGAGGCGATTGAAGACAGATGATGAAACAGAGACGTGACGATGTTAGTGTGAGGAAGGGAGGGGTCAGACAACAAAAGACAGGAGGACACAGTGGTTAGTTGGCTGGAAAGCTTGACAACATTATTAGACAGCTTTAGTGAATCAGTCACAGTGAATTACTTCCTCAAGCAGCAGCACAAAAAATGCTGCTCGTACATTGTGTAGCTCTAGAAGAAGAGCACGAGTTCCTCTTGTGTTGATAATTCAGAAAGGAAATCGTGGGACAAGCCAGAGGTAAAACAGAGCAACACAGAGAAAGTTAAAATGATTCAAGTTACACGAGGAGATTTTCTTTATTATCGACTGCTCAGATGTTGCAGACACTTGAATAGCTGCAGTACTTTTGAACCTTTTTTGATTTTATAAGTCGATACATGACAGCGCATCAGGCCAGCTAACTGTCCAAAAGA